AGCTATAGTAAGCTCTGAATTTCAATTTAGCCGATTTTAAGCCGATCGGCTTAAATTTCGGCTGAACATTCTTTAACTTGAAATTCTGAGCTCACTATAGCTACATGCTGAAAAAATATTTCACAGAATCATAGTAAAGCATGTAAAGTTCAATTTAAATACTTAAAATGGGTGTTAAATGGCTTTTTTCTATCAAAAAAATCAAAAATTGAGTTAAGCCGAAAAAATCGGCTTCGATCTCTGAGACATACTTTTAAAACTGAGCCATTCGCAAGTCTTGTTGTTTTGTCTAGTATGAAATTTGAATTGTGAGGTTGAATTTTTGATTGCTTGTTGTGTAATTGATGTTATCTTTTCGGCAATGAAATTAGGGTCTTGCATTTCATAAAACGATTCAGTGGTCAATTTCTGAAACTCATCCTTTAGTTTCAGGTAATTGGTACGATTTACCACCTTTAATATTTTCGGATTTTTGATTTTAACATCCTTAATCACTGAAACTAGCATATTATGGTCACTAAATTTTGAATCAATACAAATTGTGTGGGTTTGAATTGACATTTCTAGCCTATTACCGCATACAAAGTGATCTATAATCTTATTACTTGCATTTCTTGTTGGATGTGTGTTTGATATAAGCATGTCATACGATTTGAGAATGTTGTTGTATGTTTTCGATTCTATTGAGTCATCTTTTGCATTAATGTTGATATCCCCAATCAAGATTATTGCATCATCACTTGTACTCAGTTCACTTTTATCATCAAGCATAAAATCATTAAAGTTATTTCTGTCAGGAGCTCGGTATACGTTAATAAATTTAAAGTTTCTATTACCATTTTTCATATTGAAAACAATTTTCTCGAACGATGTAGATGATGATTTTACATTGTAAGTCACCATATTCTTGTTGACAAAAACTAAGAGTCCAAATATAAGATCCAAAATTTGGTAGAATGAAAAGAATTTCTCTCGGTTTCCTTTACTCAGTGCATAAACAGCACACCTCAGATGAAGAAAATGGGAAAAGCTATAAAAAGTTATGTGACGACATGTAGTAAGTAAAACGAAAGTAAAGACTGTCCATATCTATCATGCCTACGGCTATTAAAGCGCATGAAGTCATTGTTGCTATTAGTATTGTATGAATCTTATAATCCTGGCAGCAATCTTCTGTTTATTTTATTTTAGCCCTTAACTTACACGTCACATGCCAATATTTGAAATACAAAATATCCAACCCATGCCATAAATTCAAGAATTTATATGATTCGCGTCAATTCTTGTAGATTTTATTACATTCTTTAATTCATAAGAACAACGGAGTGCGAAATAAAATAAAATGCCAATTAGACCCACGTCAAAAGCTTTCAGATAATTTAAAGATAGAAGAAGCCTTTCAGCATAAGATTATAAAAGTAGGATTGAATTTATTGAATGGCATATTATATTTCTGCACGCATTCTAAATATAAAATAACATATGAAACCTTAAGCGCCAAACAAAAGTGAAAATCTAAAGGTTCCGAATTTTACTGGACTGAGCTAAAACAATGTTCCTCTCACGAATAAAAAAAAGAGGAAAATTGAGATTGAGTTTGTTCTCATTTCATTTCATTGCTGTTGGAAAGAAAAATGAAATGTCCTATGTCTACACTTTGTCAATGAGCAGTTTAATCAAAAAAAAAATGCGCTATCCCTTTCGATAAACATTCACAATTACTTGTCGTTCGTTTCCTGGTTGAAATTGAAACATTTCCACAGCAATGTTTTGCAATTTACATCTTTAAATTGTTTTTTAACTTTGTTATTTTTATCGTCTTCCTTCTTTTCTTCTCACTCTACATTACAATTTTCTTCTATTTCTCCATATTATGATGTGGAAAGAAAAGTTTTAAGATTTCTCCGAGTAGATAAAATTCGTTTCAAAAAGTGTAAAAATGAAAATGATTTTTTTAAGGAAATTTCAATTCCTTATTTTCATTCGCGGTACTTCACTCCATCGGTTATGAAAGTTTCACTTCCTATTTTACCTGCTCGAGAGAAAATAATAGAACTTGCATGAAAAGTTTAATACACTCTTTTATTTGTATACTTTAATATTTAATGTGAGTTTAACGATATTAGAGAATACTTGAATTTTTCATACCTTTCTAGAATGAATTTTCATCTAAATACGTTGAGAAAAGAAGTGAGAATAAGAGCTATCAAAGATTTGGGGTTTCAGGAGTTCTACAAATCTCAAATACTCAAATCCTAAAACCCCAAGTCAATAAAATAATTTCTGGCAGCAAAAACATGAGAATTCAATGAACCTATACTTAAAATAAAAAAAAAAAACAAGTTTTAAAGGCAAAAAATCATCAACCTAGAGTTAAATTTTGTAAGCTGGGAGAATCAAAGTTAACAAATTACATATATTATTAGCGTTTTAGGATTGGTATAAGTACTTGGGGCGAAAATTATGCTTTCTCGAAATCCCGGTCCCGACAAATTTTCGGGATCGGGATCGGGATTGAAATTTTTCGGGATTTCCCGGGAAATCCCGGGAATCCCGAATATGTAAAAAAATTTAAAAAACAGCATTTTTCTGCTTTTTTTTTCCAAAAAAAATTGTATATTTTTTTGCTACTTATTCCTTAATTAATTAGTTATAATTTATGTGTTACAAGGTAGATGTTTTAATCCATGTTTCCTTTGAAAAATGTGAACATAAACAAAAATAGAAAATAAATGTTGATAAAGATGTAAGTTTAAAGGTTATAGAAAACGGTGTGAATATAATAATAAAAATTAAGCATTAATGAAAAAACTTTTAACAAATGCAATTGCATTTAGATTCTTGTCAAGTAAACGTTTTCTTTGTTTTGTAAGAATGTTGTTACTAATAGAGAAATTTCGTTCGCTTTGAGTTGAGGTCGGCTGCATTGTTATCAATGCATCGTAAAGTTGATCTAACAAAACGGTTCTCTTCTTATTTTTGTCATACCAATTAAACTCTCTTTTCAAGTTATTTGGTTCTGTTGCTGCTGCATCTGTTGTTAATGATGTATATTCAGATATGCTTAGTTTCAGTCTATCTCGAATAGAAATGTTTGACGGTTGGATTTGATTTGCACTGGATGTTGAAGCTTCCATAGCTCCATTTGTAGAGTTTTTGACAAAATACTTTTTCAATAAGTCAATGCCAAGTTTATGTATTGCAGCTTTTGTTGACGATTTAAAATGCTTGTCTAAAGAAATATATTGAGGTAAAGTATTAAGTCAATTAATGTTCCATTTCTTCGTGCACCTATGCGAGCGCAATTCATATCGTAAACCTTTTGAGACAATAATGTTCCTTGTAGCAACAATTCGTCTAGCAAAAAGTTAATTGTTCCTTCAGCAATTAATAAATCGTCTGATTTACGCAATAATTTTTCTGTCGCGTATTTAGCAGGTTCTAAAACATCAATAATTTCCTAAATTAAAAAACCGGGATTTTCAATCCCGATCCCGATAAATTTCGGGATCCCGGGATTGATCGGGATCGGTAAATCCCGGGAAATCCCGATCCCGATCCCGATAGCGAGAAAGCATAGCGAAAATACTCCAAATACCCAAGAACTTGGTTTTTGTACTTGACAACCCTACTAAGAATACGAAGGAAAGAATTGAATTAAGCACTTTAGCTAAATTTAATTTAGCGATTAATGTGTAATGCATTATGAAAAAAGTAAATTCAAAAATTGATATAGGCAATAAACTCGTATGATAAATTTTAAATTATGTTTTATACGTTCAACTCGCATAAAATGAATTCTCAACAATTAGTCTATGTGGAAATTTTTATATGGAAATGTTCAAACGTGACAATCACAATTAAAACGAGCATATGCTGCGTGAGCAAAAAGTATCGTTGTTAGTTCATTCCAGCAGCAAAAATCTTCCAATTAAAAATTCAATTTTAAAAACTTCTTTCGTATACATTTTTAAGCCCTTTTTTGTGGCATTCTCGCCTTTGATGATGCAAGAAAAGCAAACATGATCCTACATATTCAAATAACGTAAATGTATTTCGTTAGACTAAAATTAGACCAATTAACTTTTTTACAGAGAAAGCAGAAAAAATGCATTAGATTAAAACCCCTTTTTCTCTATGATACCATACATATTCTCTTGTTCCAATTATCATCCTTTTAGTTCCGTTTTTTTTTTGTTTTATTTTAGTATATCAAAATTTTAAACTCATGCATTTTTCATTTGGATCACCACTCATTTTGTTCTTGAATTTCAAATTAGATTATTTAATTCAGTTGCACAACTATTAATTAAAAATTATTTGCATAAAAAGATGTAAAACATGGCCCGCTTTTAGAGAAAATCCAAAACTAGTTTGAATTTTTTTATCGAAAATAAGGACCTGTTTGGAAAAAAAAGCAGTTGAAAGCTTAAAGATTTTTTTTCTGTTGAATAATAAAGATCTTCAATATAGGATTCCTTAATGTCCCACTTCACATACTTACAAGAAGCCCTTGAAATGATATTAGACGCTAGAAGCTGAAAAAAAAAAATCTGCTCAAAAGTTGGTCATTGAAAAAATCTCGAAAATCTCCAGTAACAACGACTTATAATTGAATTTGATATACGAATGAATTTTTATTCCATATCAACGAGTCTCAATCAAATTATTAATTTAATAATTAATTGTTCTATTCAAGTTTCTCTCGACGTAGTTTTAATTAAACTTATATTTTATTCCTTTCTTTGACGTTATCAGTATCATTTTTACTATCTGCTATGCTTTTTTTCTCGCTCAAAGCTTCTCTTATTAGTTCTGTTAAATCTTGCGGGTCAGAATAACTTTGCTTCGTCCCTAAAAAATGAGAATAGCAAAATCAATATTTTGCATTTATAAAAGATTATGCAAATTAACGTTAAAGGAAACAGAATGAATGTTTATTTAAGATCAATCTGCTATACAATTCGATATTTCTAACGATTAAGGATTTACAATCAGTACTAGTTATTTTCACTTCTAGCACGTTGCTTCTCAAATGTTAAATCACGATACTTATTGACTAGATTTTCATCTTCTTTTTCCCGCATAACTAGCACTGTTAAAATGTAAATGGAAATCAGCCCTAATAGGAAATAGTATTTGTATTCGCTCTTCTTGCGTTTCACATCGTCTGGATCTTGAATGTCCTCTTCTTCGTTTACACTATTTTTGCCCTGTGTAAATTTTTCTGATATAGTTTCAGATGAAGTATTTTCAGACTTACCGTCACTTTTATATGTGATTCCATAAATTTGTCCGGGTGTGTCCTTTTCAAGCTCTGCATAAGCCTGTTTTAATTAAATTTTTGATTCATTATAGGCTTAGAATTCGAAATAAAAACATTTTTGAATCTTACTTGAATGAGCGCCTTCTGTTTATCTGAAAGCTTTTTAGGAATGACAATTTTTAGATGAATATAATGATCGCCTGTGCCTGTTCTATTGGCCCGCTTAATTCCTTTTCCTTTTAAATGGACTGTATGATGTGAAGAGGTTCCAGCCATTACTTGAATTGTTTGGTCTTCATAAACGCCTTGTATACGAATAGTTCCACCTAATATAGCTTGCGATAAAGAGATTTCAGCATCCGTATGCACATCATCTCCGTCTCGTTTAAAATATTTACTATTCTCGACTTTGAACGTAATGAAAAGCTCTTGGTTTCCGACTGTCATACGAACTGTTTGTCCCGTAGAAACGCCAGCAGGAACTTGAACGTTTACTCGTTTGCGTTGTACAGTTTGACCTAAATTGGAAAATCGAGAGGAGAAAAAAAAAAATCATTCCTCTTGCTAGTGTGATACACATATTAGAGCTGAAAGAGATTACCTTTTCCATCACATTCATTACATGGATACTTTATGTACATTCTTGTTCCTTGGCAATATCTGCAGGTAGATCGCATAACAAAAGGACCTTTATATTTTAAAAATGAAAATCAGTAATTGATCAAATAGTTTTCATAATAATTATGAATTACCTGTAGAAATCGTTTCAACTCCAGTTCCATTGCAGTACATGCATTTACCTGGTTTAGTCCCAGGCTCACATCTTGAACCGTTGCACTTTACACATGTGTCAACAACATTTACATCAATTTCCTTATTGACACCTCTTGCTGCCTGACTGAATGTCAAATTCATAATGACCTCTTGAGCACTTCCAAATCCAAATTTGGATTCAGAAAAATCATCAAAACCCATTCCTCCTCCACCACCCATATTGCCTTTAAAGTCACCAAAAATCTTTCTAAATAGCTCTTCTGGATCAATTGTAGATTTATATTGCCAATGTTGACTAAATCCTTGTGGTCCAAAACCTCGAAAGCCTGCTGATTGTCCTGCATTTTGATCGGAAGTTGTTCCAAACATATCATAATCTTTGCGTTTAGTCTCATCACTCAAAACCTATAGTTAATATTTTAAAATTATTTTTCTTTTCTAACCTAATAATAAAATAAGAGAAAACTTGCTTCGTATGCCTCAGATACTTCATGAAATTTCTTATGCGAATTTGGATCGTTCTTATTCGTGTCTGGATGAAACTTTTTAGCTAGCTCATAATACGCTTTCTTAATGTCCTTTGCCGTGGCACTTTTACTTACTCCTAAAACTTGATAGTAATCTTTTCGTAAACAACTATTTGATAAATGTATCAATCTATTATCGGCTGAAAAAGGAAGAAATGATTGTTATAAATGAAATGCATGTTTTATTAAAGTATGTCACTGCTCTAATCCTAGATATTTCTTAGAATCATTATATGATGCAATAGTCAATAATTTGTGAATACTTACAATTTTGGATATTTTGAGTAAAAGCCGGAATTCGCTTTGTAAATAGATAATTCTTACATACTGTGCAAGCACTATAATGTCTATTGCTTGTTAAGCTTTTACTATTGACTAATATTAAATTTAAACTTCCTCCTATAATTCTTTTCATTTTTATAAAAATAAAATAAAATCCACAAAAGTTTTCTCCCAAAATATGCGTTTATAAGAACATTGATTTTTCGAGAATTTACTGCGTTTCTCTTTTTCAGTCACTATGTCCGTCCGTCTGTTATCATTTATATATCCTTGCTGGACAACTTTAAAATCCTGTTAATTCTTTTATCATACATTTTATTTGTTAAAAACTACTTCTCAAATTAAATAATTACAAGTTACAACTCTAATCAATTACTTTGCTGTATGCTTTTAAGCTCATTATGCCATTCTTTATACGTCTGAAGAGTGATTTCAAGCTGTGGCTTCTTATTTGAAAATTTGGTAACATAATCTTGTATGAATTCAAAGCATAATTCATCGATTTTAAGATCATCTGACGTTTTCTCAACTTTCTTAATAATTGATTGATCGCGTGACAAAATTGCACTAACTGTTGACCGAATTTGAGCTTCTAAATCATGTTCTTGCTTCAATTCATTTAAAATGTTCATCGGTTCATTAATTGCATTTAGTTTAAACATCAAACAAATTAATTCAACGGCATTTTTAAGATAATCATTGCGAATCATGTCTAGTAAAAGATCGTCAATCGTTTTATGCCATGCAAGGAAGAAAGACATTGGTCCAAAATGCCTTGTTGATCGAAGTGTTTGAAATTGGAAATTTTCATTTATGTGTGTGTACACCTGTGAAGTAATCTCATGGAAACGCTTTTCGTGTGGTTCATATTGACAACATGCTCGATCCAAAAGAAATTCGTATTTATGCTCAGCAAGTAGTCTTTTAAAGTTGTCAGTTTCAAACATTTTCGGTTCTCTAAAGCTTCTATTATCTGTAGGAAAATACGTTTGAAGCACTCGTTTTCTTAATTCATTTGATGCATCCTTTAATGTTCCGTCAGAATCTCTAGTAACGATTGAACGATCATCATGTTTCAGGCCAAAACTAACGTCACTAAAAACAAATGTATGCGGCGAAAATTTCGACAGCGCTTTATCGGTAGAAATAATCTTACAATAGTCTTCTTTAACTTTTAATATTGGTGGCATTTGGAGCAGATACTTTGCTTCGTTAAACTTCTTTCGGATTTCATTCTCAAGCTGCTTATTTGTTAAGAACCTTATAGAAAATAGTATTAATATGGAATTTTCACTCACTAAATCATTGTCATTTATTTACTTGTATGTTGGATTAGTGTCATTTACAGTTCTTCTTTTAAACACTTTCTCAAGTTCAATTCTTGTAATCGAAAACATGAGTCGCTGGATATCTTGCGAAAAGAATAGAGGAGCTGGATCTTTACCTTAAAAAAATTCACTATTTATTTTTTTCTGTTTTTATTATTAAAAATAATACTTACCATAATTAAAATGATTTGCAGATAGAGTACTCTTATGATGTAAGTGCTGTATCCAATTCTTATAAAAGATTCTGCCCGATATCTGCTTGAAATTCATTATTTATTTCACGCTGTAATTTTCTTGATGAGAGGCAACTAGGTCGATAAATTCTGTTTACTTCTACATAGTTTCTAACCCCTTGATAGAAAAGTCGTGTTTTTGTTTTTTAATGACTGTCTGACAAAATATTTGTAATAAATAAGCCCGAAAATGCGCTTATAATACTAAGTATTAATTAAAATTATTAACTTGATAATTTTGAGTCAGAAAATTGCTTGATAATTCTTGAAAACTTAATATAATTAAGAAAATAATGTCAACAGACACACATAGAGAGGCAATTCAAAGGCAGATCCATCAGGATTGGGCCAACCGAGAATATGTAGAAGTTATAGTTAATTCTATAAAGAAAATCACGGCATTTTTGAATTCTTTTGGTAATTGAAAATATTCTAAATACTTTGATCCTAAACTCACTAATTGAACGACTTTCTATCTTTTAAGACATGTCATGTCGCTCGAGATTAGCAGTATTAAATGAAAAACTAACGCTTTTAGAGCGAAAAATCGACCATCTTGAAGCATGTATCAACAAGGAAGACTCAATCGTGCGACCCTAAACATCCCATTTGAATCATAATTTTTTTAAAATGCATTATAATTTAAGAATTGTCAAATAATGAAGTCTTGTATCCAAATAAGTTATTTCCAATATACATATTAAGTAACGTAAATTTTATTATTCAATATTTAAAATACATTAAGCAACATTAAATAAAGCAAATCATTTAAGGATAGAAACTAAATCATTTGCATGCTCATTGTTTCAGAAAGAATGACTTTTTTGTTTGTTGGTGAACTAATTTAACTCAGAATGAAAGATGCAAGACTAGATGTTGAAGCATACATATTAGAAAGTCAATAAATTAAAAAGACTATTGATGAGCGAGTAATAAAGAAGAAGCTCTATATTTATGAGAAATGTGAACGGAAGCTCTACATATAATTATGAATCATAAGAATGTGACTATTTTAAAGAGTTTATTCCTGAGGAATGCTCCTACAATTGTAGTTCACTACCTCAAATTTTGAGTATGTAAGACAATCCCTGCGAAAACTCAAAGAATTAACATATATTTTGTTGATATTATATGGTCCGAAACCTTAATACAATCATGAGAGGAGCATGCTCATCAAAACATTCTCTCCAATGATTTGTTAATGCTTCATAGATCTTCTAATGATTTTCTGCTGTTTTCCTTCACGATTTAACGGTATGTAAATTTTGATCTAATCTTATTGAATCAAGCTAACAATTCATTGATTTTATCAAGAGAACTTGCTCATCTATCGCGTGGAAACAATCAACGTCTATGAGAACTAGTGTTTCGGGTAGAAACCCAATGCGGATATATTCACACCGTACCATCAAAAGTCTTATGGATAGACCAAGATTTGCTCAGCATAAGTTTGAAGGGTGGGCGTGAAGTACAGCCGAGACCCATATCGACACAGTTCAAAAGATATATTTAATTTATGTCATAATTATGTCAGCTACAAAAACACTTAGTTTGAATTTTGTCACCCTCGGGAACACTATGAACCAGTATAGTGTAATTCCACGAGTAAAGGGAACTGAGAAAAAGCAAGTTGTAATATTTTTCTACTTGTAGGAATTTGAATTTTTTTTTACCGTTACAAATTTTCAAAAGATTCAAACTAATTTTCATTGCCTTGATTATTATTACGATTATTTCACAAAATTATGATGTTAACATGAAAAAAACAAATTAAATTCATTATTAACCCAATAAAATGTTATTTTTCGAAGAGAAATTATTCTTAGCAATAAATAAATTTAACGGGAATTCAAAATTCAAATTTTCTGTTTTTTGTTGGTTTTGGATAAAGCGCTGAAAACTTAACCGATTAACGCAGTATTTTGTAATTTTCTCTGTGAATAAAGCATTTAAGAACAGAAAAAGTTTACAAATAAGTAGAAAAAGTGAATATCTATGGCTTAAAAATATACTTGAGCACAAAAAATGGATATTTGAAGACTTTTTTAAGGATATAAGAAGCGAAATTTTTGTAAACTTAACCGATTAACGACGAAAAAACTGAATTATTTCAGTAAATAGACCTTTAAACGTTTAATTAACTTTTTTAAAATGAATATCTTGAGTTATTACTAATTATAAATTTTTAAAAGAACGGAAAAAGGTGTTATTTTAAGAGTCTTTTGATCAAAAAGAATTTTACTTGCATTTTTTCACTCATGGAATTGCCCTATAGCGGATTTTGGTCCAAATCTCGGCCATACTTCACACTTATTTGAACCACTTTTTCTCGTAAATGTTAAAATATTATTAAAAAGTAATTAATCCTGAATTATGTCGCTATTTTGTCAAGTGTTTTAAGATAAAGAATTTGATTTTTGGATTCCACAGTGAAAAGTATGAACAAAATTCAGATGGGGTAGTCGAAATTTTAGATTTCGTTTTTTTAAGCTATGCATTACAAAAAGTAATATTGCTATGTGATTTATGTCAGAATTATGTCAATTCAAATAAAACATCCAAAAATTTTTTTTGACAAAAGTACACCATAGAAATCAACTTTCAATTTTGGACTAGGGGCGACCCTAGTCAAAATCAATTTTGTCACTTTTTTCTTCGAGGGTTTATACAAATGGATTGCAATTTTGCATAAATATTCTAGTGCTTAAAACAAATACAAATAAAACATCCTAAAATTTTTTTGATCAAAGAACCAAGAAGGAAATAAATTTTCAATTTTGGACTAGGGGCGACCCTAGTCAAAATCAATTTTGTCACTTTTTTCTTCGAGGGTTTATCCAAATGGACTGAAACTTTGCATAAATATTCTAGTGCTTAAAAACAAATACAAATAAAACATCTTAAAATTTTTTTGAGCAAAGAACCAAGTAGGAAATACATTTTCAATTTTGGACTAGGGGCGACCCTAGTCAAAATCAATTTTCTCACTTTTTTCTTCGAGGGTTTATCCAAATGAATTGAAACTTTGCATAAATATTCTAGTGTTTAAAACAAATACAAATAAAACATTCTAAAATTTTTTTGAGCAAAGAATCAAGGAGGAAATACATTTTCAATTTTGGACTAGGGGCGACCCTAGTCAAAATCAATTTTGTCACTTTTTTCTTCGAGGGTTTATCCAAATGGATTGAAACATTGCATAAATATTTTAGTGCTTAAAACAAATACAAATAAAACATTCTAAAATGTTTTTGAGCAAAGAACCAAGGAGGAAATACATTTTCAATTTTGGACTAGGGGCGACCCTAGTCAAAATCAATTTTCTCACTTTTTTCTTCGAGGATTTATCCAAATGAATTGAAACTTTGCATAAATATTCCAGTGTTTAAAACAAATACAAATAAAACATTCTAAAATTTTTTTGATCAAAGAACCAAGAAGGAAATAAATTTTCAATTTTGGACTAGGGGCGACCCTAGTCAAAATCAATTTTGTCACTTTTTTCTTCGAGGGTTTATCCAAATGGACTGAAACTTTGCATAAATATTCTAGTGCTTAAAAACAAATACAAATAAAACATCTTAAAATTTTTTTGAGCAAAGAACCAAGTAGGAAATACATTTTCAATTTTGGACTAGGGGCGACCCTAGTCAAAATCAATTTTGTCACTTTTTTCTTCGAGGGTTTATACAAATGGATTGCAATTTTGCATAAATATTCTAGTGCTTAAAACAAATACAAATAAAACATCCTAAAATTTTTTTGATCAAAGAACCAAGAAGGAAATAAATTTTCAATTTTGGACTAGGGGCGACCCTAGTCAAAATCAATTTTGTCACTTTTTTCTTCGAGGGTTTATCCAAATGGACTGAAACTTTGCATAAATATTCTAGTGCTTAAAAACAAATACAAATAAAACATCTTAAAATTTTTTTGAGCAAAGAACCAAGTAGGAAATACATTTTCAATTTTGGACTAGGGGCGACCCTAGTCAAAATCAATTTTGTCACTTTTTTCTTCGAGGGTTTATACAAATGGATTGCAATTTTGCATAAATATTCTAGTGCTTAAAACAAATACAAATAAAACATCCTAAAATTTTTTTGATCAAAGAACCAAGAAGGAAATAAATTTTCAATTTTGGACTAGGGGCGACCCTAGTCAAAATCAATTTTGTCACTTTTTTCTTCGAGGGTTTATCCAAATGGACTGAAACTTTGCATAAATATTCTAGTGCTTAAAAACAAATACAAATAAAACATCTTAAAATTTTTTTGAGCAAAGAACCAAGTAGGAAATACATTTTCAATTTTGGACTAGGGGCGACCCTAGTCAAAATCAATTTTGTCACTTTTTTCTTCGAGAGTTTATCCAAATGGACTGAAACTTTGCATAAATATTCTAGTGCTTAAAAACAAATACAAATAAAACATCTTAAAATTTTTTTGAGCAAAGAACCAAGAAGGAAATACATTTTCAATTATGAACTTGGGACAGGTCCAGTCAAAATCTGGTTTTTCACTTTTTTCTTCGAGGATAAATCCAAATACAGTAAAACTTTGTATGAGCATTCCACTATGGGCCAGAAATCGAAAACTTTTCCGAAAATTATTTTTTTGGTCTAAATGATAGTTCTTTCATTCCCATCTATGAAAATACTTACAAAAGTGGCCAATTCAGCCTAAGTTCCGAGTTATGGCTTTTCAAATTTTTGATTAAGAGCATTTTCTCGCCCCACAAAAATTGTCACTGCTTTTCATTAGATTGATGAAACTCTTTCAATTTTTTTTATTTGGTAGCTTAAAATATGAGCTTTATTTTAGGATAGTAAACATTTAGTTATGCATCTTTTAACTTTATGAATTTTAAGGTTTTTTCAAAAAAGCACGTGTTCAGTATGATTATGTTCGTCTAGGACTTCACTCTTAAAATAAATGATGCTGAATCTTTTTTTATATTGTAGATATAAACAAGATCTACAACTTTTATTAAGATACTATAAAGTTTTAGTAGAGTTTTGCTGATGAAATTAAGTCTTTTCTTCAAAAAAACTGCAATTTTTTGACATAAATTCCCATAACTTTTCAGGATAGCCCAAAGGAGTGGATTTTTTTTACATGCTTTAAAAGCTCTTTAAATATACTATCAGAATATACAATCAGCTTGAGTTCGGTTACTGAGACAATCTCGAGCAATTTGACTTTGAAGTGTGACCAGAAATACATTTCAAAACATAAAAATTGAAAATAAATTTTGTACGTTTTTCAAAATTTTAGTTTTTTGCTTTAGATCAATAGATCTTATCAAGGCGCATATTTTGAGTATAAATATGTCATAGTTTGAACAATTTTTATACTCAAATTTCAACAAAATCATTTTTATATATTTTTTCAACAAATTTTACTTATTTTTCAATTATTTTAAATCAAAACTTATTTTAAATCTTCTGATTTTGATATTTTTTGAAATTTCTATGTTTTTATGTTAAAATGTCATTCCTAGAGCAACAATTCATAAATTTTTTTTTTACTTTAAGGTAATTTTTTTATAATTTTTTGCAAATTACACTCATTTTTCTTATCTTTTTTTATCAAATTTTATTTTATAATAATTCTAAATATTGAAATTTAATGTAATATGCATAAAAATACTCTTAAATATTTAAAAATCATATTTTATCCAATTAACGTAGGAATAAAGCTGGAATGAGCAAAGCTTTGATATGTTGCTTTAATTTGAAGGTAATTCTCCTTTCGATTCAGAACATATAAGCATCCAATCAACTATTTTTAATAAATTTCGGTAAACATACTTATTTCCATGCAATTGTAAAGCATAAGCTGCCTTTCAGGTCCGGAAGTTGAAAGCTCAATATTTATAATCTGACTGGACTCACTAATGGTGACTGGAATTTACCAGTATGAAATATATAAAGTATATATACAAAAGTTTGAAAAGATTGCATCGTTTCGAAATTTATCAAAACTAAATGATGGTTCTTGAATCTATTTTTGTCTATGTATAAGGATTTAAGTGCCTCGCTGGTCAAATAAGTAAGGCGATTGGCTCAAATTTGGTATGGTAACTCGATGGTCGTCGGTTCCAATCCAGCCATTTCCAAATTTGTTCTTTTTCAGAAGTTTAGATACTTCGACTGCTTAATGTACGAGATCAAGCCATGAGATATTTGGATTAAGGAACGGATGAGGAACATGAAGTGTAGCGGGAGAAATAGGAACGAGAGCTACAAGATTACCTTATAATGATAAATTGTCAGAATTGATCTGAAATGTATCACGTTGCGCCCACAGATCAGGAAAAAAAGTATATGCAAAGACAAAAATTTGAAAAATCAATGAAATATGCTAAAAAACTATAAGGAACCATTCAACATTGGATAAAAATTGTCAGAATAAATTTGATAGATTGGAAAATGGTTGATAGCAGTTGATAGCGTTTTCCTTTTTAAAAACTATTTTCATTATAGGTCCTTAATTTTAATAATTCGTGGTGATAGTTTATGCTTTACAATTGCATGGAAATAAGTATGTATACCGAAATTTATTAAAAATAGTTGATTGGATGCTTATATGTTCTGAATCGAAAGGAGAATTACCTTCAAATTAAAGCAACATATCAAAGCTTTGCTCATTCCAGCTTTATTCCTACGTTAATTGGATAAAATATGATTTTTAAATATTTAAGAGTATTTTTATGCATATTACATTAAATTTCAATATTTAGAATTATTATAAAATAAAATTTGATAAAAAAAGATAAGAAAAATGAGTGTAATTTGCAAAAAATTATAAAAAAATTACCTTAAAGTAAAAAAAAAATTTATGAATTGTTGCTCTAGGAATGACATTTTAACATAAAAACATAGAAATTTCAAAAAATATCAAAATCAGAAGATTTAAAATAAGTTTTGATTTAAAATAATTGAAAAATAAGTAAAATTTGTTGAAAAAATATATAAAAATGATTTTGTTGAAATTTGAGTATAAAAATTGTTCAAACTATGACATATTTATACTCAAAATATGCGCCTTGATAAGATCTATTGATCTAAAGCAAAAAACTAAAATTTTGAAAAACGTACAAAATTTATTTTCAATTTTTATGTTTTGAAATGTATTTCTGGTCACACTTCAAAGTCAAATTGCTCGAGATTGTCTCAGTAACCGAACTCAAGCTGATTGTATATTCTGATAGTATATTTAAAGAGCTTTTAAAGCATGTAAAAAAAATCCACTCCTTTGGGCTATCCTGAAAAGTTATGGGAATTTATGTCAAAAAATTGCAGTTTTTTTGAAGAAAAGACTTAATTTCATCAGCAAAACTCTACTAAAACTTTATAGTATCTTAATAAAAGTTGTAGATCTTGTTTATATCTACAATATAAAAAAAGATTCAGCATCATTTATTTTAAGAGTGAAGTCCTAGACGAACATAATCATACTGAACACGTGCTTTTTTGAAAAAACCTTAAAATTCATAAAGTTAAAAGATGCATAACTAAATGTTTACTATCCTAAAATAAAGCTCTTATTTTAAGCTACCAAATAAAAAAATTGAAAGAGTTTCATCAATCTAATGAAAAGCAGTGACAATTTTTGTGGGGCGAGAAAATGCTCTTAATCAAAAATTTGAAAAGCCATAACTCGGAACTTAGGCTGAATTGGCCACTTTTGTAAGTATTTTCATAGATGGGAATGAAAGAACTATCATTTAGACCAAAAAAATAATTTTCGGAAAAGTTTTCGATTTCTGGCCCATAGTGGAATGCTCATACAAAGTTTTACTGTATTTGGATTTATCCTCGAAGAAAAAAGTGAAAAACCAGATTTTGACTGGACCTGTCCCAAGTTCATAATTGAAAATGTATTTCCTTCTTGGTTCTTTGCTCAAAAAAATTTTAAGATGTTTTATTTGTATTTGTTTTTAAGCACTAGAATATTTATGCAAAGTTTCAGTCCATTTGGATAAACTCTCGAAGAAAAAAGTGACAAAATTGATTTTGACTAGGGTCGCCCCTAGTCCAAAATTGAAAATGTATTTCCTACTTGGTTCTTTGCTCAAAAAAGTTTTTTTCATCCAAAGTTTAATTTAAAATAAAAAAAAATCACAGTGAACTTTTAATTTGAAAAATTCGTAAGAAAGGAAAGTTTTTTGCTTTTTCTGAAGCAACGGCTGTTCCTACCTTGCCCAAAAACAATACAGCTCTTCTATAAAGCAGCACGGATCAAATGTAAAAAACTAGAAGTCTCTACGATGTCTCGTTATTGAGATTTCTTGCTGATTAACTTGCTTGCTTGCTTGCTTGTTTGCTTACAGAAAGCATATTTTGCGATTTTCTCAGCAATGCCACAACCAATTTGAAATCTGTTTTTTGAAAATGATGTAAAATTTCAGGCACAAACTTTTCTTCTGTGACTTTTTATAACCAATTTTGCTTTGTTTTCTCACAAAATGCGAAAAACTGATTTTTCAATCTGAACAAAACCAATAGATTCACACGCAGTGTTGCAAATGTAGATGTCTACACTAGATGAAGAATGTAGATTCTTCAATAGTTTTTGTCTAGCTAAGAAACTTTCTTCATAAAGATCGATTCTACATGTAGAAAGAAAAAAACCATCTACATGTAGATTGTGTCTACATGTAGAATCTGTCTACATGTAGATTCGATGTAGATGTCTATAATTCTACATTTTTTTCCAGGTCTACATCAGAGAAGAATGTAGAATCGTAGACATCTACATTAAATCTACATGTAGACAGATTCTACATGTAGACACAATCTACATGTAGATGGTTTTTTTCTTTCTACATGTAGAATCGATTTTATGAAGAAATTTCTGTCTCAGAATTTATCTGATCCAGACAAATAGCCAGAATGCAACACTGTTCACACGTGAAAACGGTGTGAATATAAAAATATTTTTGCAACATAATTTCGCTTTTTGAACAATTCAATTTTTTTTTTGTCGATTGAAAATTGCACTTATTTTGAATCGACAATGATGTAAAACATTTTCTATTACATTCTCTAGCCGTATGTTACTCATGATTTTTGTGTTCATACTTTATTATGATTTTAATTGTCGCTGTTGAAAAAAATTACCATCAATAAATTTCGCACATGTGAGTGAGTGGCGTTAGGCATAAATTAAAAATGAATAATTTTGAACATTTTTTTTTTGGTCTTCATTCAAAGCAAATAAGAATAAAATTAAGAATTCTTCTCATCATCAAAAAAAAAATCATCAAACTACTGAAGAAGCATTTTGAAGAAATGTTAATGATCACTGATGTTGATGAAAATCATTGTTCTTTTGAATAACACATTGCTTCAATGTTTTCTTGCACATGTTTTACACATTATTTTTTTTTAACCAAAATATTCTCCACTCTTCAGTTGTTTGTAAGCTCTTGACTCACGTATACACCTGTATGTTATTAACGGACATAAGCCAAAAAAAGAATTTTTAATAAAAAAGTTTTACATGAGAACAATGGCTGAAAAAATGAAGAACAATTAATTCAAGAAATTAATATTAAAGAAATATAAAAACTTAAAAAGTTAAAAGAATCTACTTATTTTATCTTAGAAAAAATACTTAACATCAGTTCTTATTAATTAAAGGTATATAAAAATATTAAAATTATAAATTTGGAAACGAATTTTTATGATTGATCGTTTTGGAATTTCTTCAGAGACAAATGTGAATGTTAAAAATAATATAGAAATCACAAAAATACAGATGATTTATAGTGCAAACTTGATGCAGATTTATATGAATTTTTAGAAAACGACGAAAAAGAGATCTTCGGTAAAGAAAAAAAGAAGAAAGTTTTCAAGATGTTATGAAGCAAAAAATTGATATTCATTGAATTTCATAACGGAATTTGTTATTGTCTTGATATTCAAAGTACATTTCTTCTGAATACAAATTTCAACTTTATCTTTAGCATTCTTCTTCAATTAATACTAAGAGCCTCAAAAGATTTGTCAAAATATTTTCGAGTCCGTTGATCTCAGAGGCAATATTCTTTTCAATTCGTGCATTTGATTTTTTTTTAAATTCATATAATCTACAATCAGAATATTAACCTTTCTTAATTATACTACAGATTATCGCAATTGCTTACTTTAAGGAACAATCCGATCAATAATTCCTTTTAAAAAACTAGAAAGAAAAAATAATTAAATAGACATGATCAGAGAAGAGGAATTAGAAATTGCTATTAAAGTCGTAATTGTTGGAAATGGAGGTAGGTTTACAATTTCGATACACGATGGTGAAAAGTGAATTCTAATAATGTTTACTATTCAGGTGTCGGAAAAAGCAGTATGATACAGAGATATTGTAAGGGAATTTACACAAAGGATTATAAAAAGACTATTGGCGTCGATTTTCTAGAGAGAATGATAGAGTAATGCAATGTGTTATTAAAAATAATGTTTCATGTTTATTCACATTTTTCATCTACTTTCAGCATTGATGGTGAAGATGTACGAATTATGTTATGGGTATGTAGTAATACAATAATATTATTCATGCTGAATATGCATAAGAAGAAGCAGAAAAAAATTAACTTTCATTTTCATTAAGGATACTGCGGGTCAAGAAGAATTTGATGCTATAACAAAGGCTTATTATAGAGGTGCGCAAGCATGCGTAATTACCTTTAGTACTACTGATAGAAACTCCTTTGAGGCAGTTAAAGATTGGAAAAAGAAAGTAGAAAATGAATGTGGAGAAATTCCCACGGTTTTAGTGCAAAATAAAATTGATTTAATTGAACAATCAATAGTTACTTTGTAAGGCAGATCAGCATTTTGAATTAAATCATTAAATTTAATTGAATGATATTTTTTTAATTTTAGTGAAGAAACTGAACTACTCGCTAAAAATTTAGGTGTCCGGCTTTTTCAAACATCTGTCAAGGAAGATCTAAATGTTTCAAATGTTTTTCGATTCCTCGCTACAAAATGTCATGAAATAATTAAGCAACAATATAACAACGTACTCTCACAAAATACACCAACAATTAGTCAGTTCAACCCCACATTTCATTCAAAAAACAGTGGCACTATAGTTCTAACTAGACCTTTGAGAAAGTCTAAACGAAAAAGCATGCTCAAAAAGTGCGGTTGGATTTAAACTTATTTATTGTTAATGTTATCGAAAAAAAATTACATAAAAATATTATTTATTAAGAGAACGATAATGTTAGTGATATTATTAAATAACTATCGAATAGTAAGAATAAATAATGAGAATTTTAATCATTTTAAAACACTTCCTTTCTAAACATAAAACCAAACTGTTCGCACTTTTGTCGAAGAGTTTTAGCAAGTTGTGGGGGACCACAATAGAAAACCGTAACCTTTCCTTTCTTTTGGTCCTGAATCTTTTTGAACACTTTATCCCAATTCGGCCTGCCAGCTATGGTCCTTGTTTTTAATCCTGTAATCAAATCTCGCTTCTCTTTTTCGTGCAACAAATCAAGAGCCAGCTGCAGACTTACTGCCTTCATGTCAGTTTTCTGAAGAGCTGATGTAATATACATATGCTGAAATACAATGATTTTTATTTTGCGGATCTTTACGCTGAGTAAATACAGACACTTACCATATCTAAGAATCTTTCCATTGCACCACCCAATTCAGCTTGCTCTATTTCCAGCTGAGATAACAAGTTGACGAACCATTCAAATGACCTTTGATCTCTATTGATCCAAAAGAAGTCGACTTTTCTCAAGTTCATAACCGTTGATGGAATATCAGATGCCCACGAATAGTCGCAATTTGGACAGACATGACGAGCTTTAGATTGTTTAAACAAAAGTTAAAAATAAACCCTTTATGAGCATTATTATTACCTTTCCAGTATCGATGCATGATAGACTGTAAAATAGAAGCAAATGGAGTAACACCAATTCCTGTCCCAACCAATACAGCATGTTGTGCGCGGAATATATGACTTGATGGGGCCCCGTATGGTCCATCGATGAATATTTCTAATGGTTTTCCAACAGGGAAGTTTACAGCGATATGATTGCTGCCTTCTTCTGCAGATTTTGATGGATTCAATTCGTCAAGTTTTTTATTAACTTCATAAGATTCCAAACTTGGCGTTGAAAATGCAATAATTGTAGGTTTATTACGCATGTAACGAAAACTCTGAGCGATCGTTTTATTCTGTGGACTGTGGTAAGCCTGCTCTAATGATTGAATATTCTTTTGAGCTATTGATATGATCTTAGCATTGAAGGAATTTTCAGATCCAGAACGAATAGTTTCATGTTTGCTATAAAATAGTAAATAAACATTAAAATTTACCTAATCAAATTCTAGTGAATATTTTTTTTTTACTTTTTTTCTTTGTTCATTGTTATTGCAGACATAGATGCAGATTTTTCCACAGGACCTTTATTCAAAGCTTTATTTGGAGATAATTCCATAGAAAGCATAATGTTTTGTCTCATATTTTTACCGTCCGTTTTTTCATTCAACTTGTGATATGAATCTTTAATCATTTCTTGCATTTCCATATTCTTTCCATGAGTTTGTTCATCATAAGGTAAAACTTCTCCATTATGTAGGCGTTCTTGTTCAATTTGGAAGAAATTAAGCAAACGATTTGTCCATTCACCCACAGCTCTAACGTGCAAACCAATATGATCACTATCTTCAGGTGCACTGCTTAAAGTAAATGGATGCCATTCATATTTTGCTATTGTTGGAATATTAATAAAGACATAATCGCCTGGTCGATAGCAGAAATGGAAAGGTCGTTTGATAACTAAGTTTATGACTTTTGACGGCAAAATTATTCCGGAAGATACATAGGTTTTTCCTCGATTTGAGCGCATCCAGATAAATCTTAAGATAGAGAATGTTACGTTAAACATAAAAAAAAATATCAAAACTTAAAAACCGTACCTTAAAGTTCTTTCTGCAATAAAAATAGTGCCAGGAATTAAGAAAAATTTCCAAAACACAGGGCCATGGATAAGAACTAATAAAAAGAATGGGACATACAGCAAATGTGTCCAATAAAAAACTTCGAAGCTTCCTCCACGACGAACAAATGGCAAAGAGCAAACAAACATGATTGTCATTATTAAAACAAGTAAGAAACCTGTTGGATTAGCCCAGCCACTGATGAACCCAAATAACCCAGGTGTTGAGGTGAAAAACCATTGAGCTAATGTGTAATTTGCTTTGTTGATCACAGGGTCAGAGACGACAACGAAACCTGTACAATAATAATGTAAAAAAATGGCAATCAATAAAATAATATTTTTTGAAATGTCACATTAACTTACTGAAATTGATGAGATGCATAAGGGTGTGCCAAGTACCATAAAATACTATTAACCATCCTGTAAGTTTATGAAGATAAATGTGTTGATCCAATGGCAAGAAGGAATTGAATCCATGAGTTCTCAAGTACGTGATTGTGTGTCTTAACATCAAAACCAAAACAAATGCACAATTGAAATTTAAACAATAACCACATGCTCTGGCAAATATAACTAAATAATTGCTCTTTCTATATTGATAAGCTCTCATTATAAAAAGGAAGATATTTATAAGTATGAAAGCACACATGAATATCAAATATACATAATTATTTTTTATGTATGGAGTAGAGAGCTGATGTGGCATGCGATTCATTTGGTGAACTGTCTTTTTTCCATGATTTACAGGAAGTGGAACAAGCCAGCGGTCAATGCTAATACTTAAATTCTCAAGTAAACCACCATGCTTTGTTAATTGATTTGTCAATGCTTCGTACGTAATAGCTTTTAAGAAATTGAAAAATTATTATGAAATAAAAGTTTAAATTACAAGGAGAACAATCACCTCCATTATTATCAGGATCTGCATCATCAAACATAGCTCTAGTAAGATCATCAATCTTGTAAAGAAATTTTTAAATTGAGCATGATTTTTCACTCATCTAAAAACATAATTCACCTGAGTCTCGCTAAATTTCATTCCGTTTTCATCCATACACGCTCGCATAACGTGTTGCAGTTCTTCATGCTGAATTAAACCATCACCTGAAAATTTACGCACGTGCTATAAATAAATTGTAACACATATTTCAAAACATGAAGAATTACCATCCAAATCGTAAACTTTGAACAAGAATTTAATCTTATTTTCAGTTGATTGTCCCGAAAATTGATGCATCGAATCAATGAACTCTTGTAGCGATATTGTTCCTGAATTGTCTTTATCAAAGATTTGGAAGACTCGCTCAGTAAAGAATGGCTATTGAATCAAGCATTTATGATTAGCGTTCCCTTAGGTGAATATTTTAAAAAAAAATTCTTACATTCTTTGAGATAACAATTTTTTTGAAATCATCTCGCTTGATTTCTTTGCCATCACCAACTGTTTTGCGAAACAATTGCTCTAATTTTTCTAATGATGCATTATCAAATCCGGTTCTTGGTCTTGAGTTGGTTAAGTTTGAAACGCATTCATTAATTTGTGTTGTTGAAACCGCGTTCACACCTTCAACGTCTACGTAATTTTATGCAATTTAAAGTTTTTTCAATGAACATACATATCGTTTATTCGTCATTACACATACCAATAAGCCGATAAAATTTATCAAGTATTCCTTTGGCATTCCATATTTGCACAAAATCATCGAACGTTACGATATTTTCACCGCATATAACATAAGCAACCGATTCAAGCTGTTCAGCAAAATCAATTTGTTTTTCATCACTGCAATTGATGTACATATTTTAACTTAATACACATAAAAGTTTATAATTGATTATGTTTTAAACACTCACATTAATCTTCCTTTAATGTTTTCAATCCATTGGTCTTGTTTCAGACTTTCATTGCTTTCATAATCAAAAAGCTTAAACACATTAAACAAGGTTTCCTATCGAAAATTATTGATAATTAAGTTTAAAAACAATTAGAATCAAAAATCATTTAAATAATTGCAGATTTTAAAATATTGATATTAAGTTTATGAAAGTCAATTTTTCTGTTACTTTTCAGATCTGAGTAGAAATACGCATTATAGAAATAATAGTAAAAAATAGAATGTTTGATTTATGCACATAATAACATATATGTAGGCAGGCTAATATGACATTGATTTTAGAATGACATAACTTAAGGTAAGGTTACAAGCAATACTTTAATGCTGCAACTATCACTTACAAGTTAGTTTCTGTGAATATATTATACGCACAAATTGATAATAAAATTAATGCTTTTTAATTTTATCCATCTTCTTTTGCATAAAAAAACTTTACCAAATTTTAATATTATTCTTCGAATTTCTTTTTTAAGACCGAGAGGGTCGGGTTGGTGTGAGAGGATATAGGAGGAACAAGGCCAATCATACTTTATTAAATCCTAATCTTCTTTTTTTAAAAAGAAAATTCTTTATTTTTTGTGATTTATAAGTGACCAGGTATAGGGTCTTAAAATGTTATCCTAATTACTTACTCGAGTACAAAAAAGTTTCACAAAACTATCACGAGAATGCTTGTCCTCCCCAAAAATTGCACCCAATTCAGACATGTACATCCATCGCATTTTATCTCGTTTAACTTCAATTTCCATAAAGCTTTTATTATTGCTTTTTGTCAAAATATTTTTTTCATTATTATCACTTGTTTCTTTCTTTTCATCACCACCATCACTTTTGCTTGGCATCACCTCCTTTTTTTCATCCACTTTAGTATTAGAGTTCACAGGATATTCATTTTCACTTGAGATATCAATTGTATTGTCAAAAAATGAAACGTCTTTTCCATCTTTATCCTTACTACTTATTAAATCTTCATTACTGCTATTTAACTTATCTTGCGACATTTTCGCGCAGACTTTTAGCAAATTTAAAATCGAAGTGACCAGTCAACGAGCTAAACATTAACTGAACTTTATTTTCAATTAATCTACAGCGTCGATTACGATGTAGCATGTAAGTTTACAATATTTTGTCTTTATTTAACATTCAATATCGTTCCACTTTACTTTACTGCTCAATGAAATGAAAGGTTATATTTAATGTCACGTGTTTCATCCTTTCATTTATCGATATGATGTATTTGTTAACATTACTTTTGTTTCGTTTCCATTTCATACAACAATTACTAAGAAAAAAAAACAATACTTTTGATGACTTTCCGAAATGGATATTTGAAAGGATCAAATGAATTGCATGTATGGGCTATTACTTTCAAATTAATCATTGAGTTGTCAAATTAGCATTTAATCATTTAAAGTAATCAAAAAGATTGGCTCTTAATAATTAATAAATCTTGTACATAAAGCATAGGTAATAAAACTGTATCATTAACAACTAATCATGTTTATGATTTTATACTTTAACAAGTTCATAAAGCTATAATCGTTTCCGAATTTTTATCACATATGTCATAATGCTTGTTTTGAGGTACAAATCAATGATTGAAAAAATTGCGAATCATGTTGTTTCAATTAAACGTGCGTAACCGAATGTTTATATATGTACCGCTTGAAATTGAAAAATAGTAATGTTGTAAATTTGGTGCATTTGAGTTTTTCTGGAAGTATGTATGCGATAAAAAAAAGTATGAAAATTTTCAAATAAGTAATTTTGCAAAAATTACACTTTTGCTTAAAATAATCAAATTAGTTAAAAATGTTTTAAATGGAATGAGATTTAAAAAAATAATATTAATAAATCAAAAGTATGAAATCTTTTTAAAAATGAACAAGATTGAATACGTAAATGATAGTTAAGTAATAAATCATTCAAACTAGAATAATTATAAAGTGAGAAAAAATAACTCAGAATCCTTGATAAAAGAAAAAATACAAACTTTGACCTTATACATGAAGCAGAATTTCTTCCGTAAACGGTAATATGTGAATGCATGCTTAAAAATACAATGCTGTAAAAAAATCTGTAATTGGGAAATTGCAAATTGATTTGACACATTATTTGTGGAATTTTTTTTTATTTATTTTATAAATCCATTTACTCTAAGCACAGACATATATTCTGATCTTTGAACATAACATCCTGTCATTGTACGTTTACCATCATATGCATGTCTACCGTGTAAAACTCTCCAGTTGTCAAAAATCAAAACAGTTCCAGGTTCTAGCTTAAAACTAATGCGATTCTCAGAATTTTCAAGTTCAGAAATCAATATTTTTAAATCTTTGTAAAACTGACGAATTTGATTGCGAGGCAAAGTGTTTAAAGGTGCTCGATCATATAAATTGAATCTAATTTGCACTACTTCGTTTGTAATTGGATCTAAATTTATTATAGGTGCATAATATTTGTGATGATAATCTTTTTCCATATACTCAGCTGGTACAACCGTTTTAGTCAGCCTTTCATATGTATCAGGATATCCTGTTTTTATTTTCTCTGCAACTTGAAAACCATCAATAAGAAAATTTTCTCCACCTGTGCATTGATTCATAATGCAATGCAAAATTTGTAATCCTGAAGCATCATTAAAATAAGTGTTGTCATTATGAGGTCCAAGATAATCTGTGAACAATACATGATAACACAACTTTTTTTTATAAGAATTTCAGATAATTTACAATTTGTATATGCAGTGTCCATGTGATCTTTTTTTTCATCGGAAAATGTCCACATTTCACCGAATAGTGTTTTATGAATGGGAAACAGTTGTCTAATAACAAATTCAGTGTTTTGCTGTGTAGCTTGAACGCCTTCAATAAATGCAAATCCATTCAAGCACAGTCCTTTAAGAACCTTTCGAGATATATCCGGATCACTCATGTAATCCCTCATTGACACACGACATACATTGCTCGGAATTGACATATACTCCTTTGTCCATAAAATTTTATTTGATTTCGCTTCACTAAGATTCTCATATTGATTTTTTAACAAGAAATCTGTATCATAGGTTGATTCGTGATCATCATCCCCTGTGAATTTCAAGATTTATTTTTAAAAAAATTCAAAACTTGCACAATAATTTAAAATACTTACAAATTACATTAAGCTTATTGTCTTTTAGTTCAAAACACTTTATCGAAACATTGTCAGGTATATTTAAAATATTTAAACTTCTTTGATTTGTGGAAAAGTCAAAGCAGGATCCACAACGACAATGATCTCTTAACCAGAATTTGTCAATTTTAATTTCATTCTCATTCACGGTTATTTCGATTTCTAGATCCATGCGAATTGAACAAAATAAAGATGATGAATGAATTAAAAACGTACATTGATACGTGAGAAATTAATAAAAATCTCTTACCGTTATCATCAAGAGTATTCAAATCATTCTCAATATTATCAATTACTACGACATTTGAATTTGAGTTGATGACCGATAATAATTTTTTATATTGGGCAGGATTGACTTCAAGTAATGCTAAAATTTTTCCCTTCGGCTCATCTTTGATTTCGCACTCGTTAACAGCTTCGATTTTTTGATCATTGGATTTTAGTTCATAATCAAGATTTGCTCGACATATTTTAACTCTTTCATTTGAATTATGGCTACTCGTGTTTATGTTTTGAGTACTTTTAACATTGGATATGGGCATAATAGTTTCATGCATCTCGTCAAACGTTCTTTTGATTGGTTTAATAATGCTTTCACTTTTTATTGAAGTAGCAGCCAGCTTATTCAAAATTGTAGGCATTGCTTTTTTTGGGCTATTTTCAGTTTGCTGAGATTGTTCAAGCTGATAAGCTTTAGATTTCGAATATTCATCAAGATTTGTTAAGTTTAGATGAGGAATAGCTGTTAAATTCAAACTTCTTGACTCAATATTTTTGTACGAGTTAATTCCAAAATGCCTTGCACATACAAAATACCTTTTTCTTATCGCATCATGAGTTTTATCCTGCAATTTTAAGATCGGTTCCTTTTGTTGAATGGCATTTTGCCATTCTGAACTTCTTTGAGTATCTGCTGGAAATTTATGAACCAAATTAAATTTTTTTCCTTCACATATAGGAACAACACACGCTTTGGCTAAATGCATATTCGAATCGGTTTTAAAACTCATTTAAAACTTTTAAGTATTAAAAATCGAAAAAAAATACTAAAGTAATTTCAGTTGTTTTTATTTTGTTTACGTTTATTGCTTTTATTTTAACTCTATCTAACGGATTTGACAGAAATGAACACTTATTATTCTTTTAAAAATGTAATATAGAGGGCACCAGGGTATTTCATACTAATTTTAATTAATATTATTAAAACAAGAAAGTGTCATTCAATAATTTTTTGGGCTCTTCACAGAAGCTTTTAATTCAGATTCTTTTAGTTTACAAAACTATTTCGACGATACTTTAAAAACTTTATATTTGAAAATAACAGGTAATCAAGAAAAAGTTATCCGAACACAGATTCTCAAAGTTTCAAATCTCTCTGAAGCGAAAATTTTCAGTCACTGCTTCATCATTATCCATTTTGGAAGTATAAGAAATCGAGAAAATAATTAATTGTTAAAAGAGACTTTTTAAAATCAAAAAATAGTTAAAAACGATAAAGTAAGTAATACTATTCCATAATTAATTGAACATTATTATTAAAATTTGTTAATTATTAAGTTATTGATATTTTAATATGCCACGCCCTCATAGCTTCTAAAGTTTTAATTTTTTAAATATTCCATCACCAAAGCTATGAATATTGTTTTATTGCTTAGAATTCATTTCCAACAATTATTATATTAATCAAAATTATAAGAAAGCAAGTTAAAATATATTTATTCCAAAAAGCCGTAAATATTGATTTATTTTTTTTTTTCTTTGACAAAATGTCTACTTTCTTTCTTGTTCTCAATTTTTAAATCAAAATATTTTCAAAGTTCATCTATATCAAATTATTTGAACTGTCCAAAAGAAATCTATATTTCTATTTTATCATTTTGAATTAGGGGAGTACTTTGGAATTACAAGAATGTTTCTTCTATTTTTTTTCATGTCATAATTTATTTTTAACTCACGCACACATTCAAAGAATTATGCGGTACGTTCAAGTGCTAACAATAAAAACTGTAAATTGGAAGATAAAATACATCCGCAGCACATAACATACATATATTGACTAAAATTTTACATTATATTATAATCGTTTTTTTTATACATAGGAGTTTATTCATTCTAATTGGAACCGACAAATTTTTAAGAGCTTAGAACAAAACGAAGTTGGTATTAAAAAATATTTTTCTTGAAATGCATGAGCTGTCTGGTTTTAATAAAAAAATTTTAATTGATTTTTAGAAGAAAAAGAGAGAGAGAGAGAGATAAAAAATGGATCAATTCACACCCAAAGAAGTTCGCATACTTGAAAGCGCTGAAGACATTCAAGAGCGTCGTGAACAAGTTTTAAATCGATATGGTGAATTTAAATTAGAAACAAGATTAAAGAGAGAAAAGTTGGAAGACTCAAGACGCTTTCAATACTTTAAGCGTGACTCTGATGAACTAGAAAGTTGGATTCATGAGAAATTACAAGCAGCTAGCGAAGAAAGCTATCGCGATCCAACTAATTTACAAGCTAAAATTCAAAAACATCAAGCATTTGAAGCCGAAGTTGCTGCTCATTCAAATGCTATTGTATCACTTGATCATACAGGTCAAGAGATGATTAATCAAAGTCATTTTGCTTCTGATGTTATTCAAACTCGTTTGGATGAATTACATCGTTTGTGGGAGCTTTTGCTATCACGATTGGCTGAGAAGGGTATGAAGTTGCAACAAGCACTTGTTTTGGTTCAATACCTCCGTCATTGCGAAGAAGTTATGTTTTGGATTAAAGACAAGGAAACATTTGTCACTGCCGATGAATTCGGTCATGATTTGGAACATGTTGAAGTTTTGCAACGTAAATTTGATGAGTTCCAAAAAGACATGTCATCACAAGAATACAGAGTCCTTGAAGTCAATGATTTGGCAGACAAATTAATCCAAGATGGTCATCCAGAAAGAGAAACTATAATCAAAAGAAAGGATGAGCTCAATGAGGCCTGGCAAAGATTAAAGCAATTGGCTATACTTCGTCAAGAAAAATTATTCGGTGCACACGAAATTCAACGTTTCAATCGTGATGCTGACGAAACAGTTGCATGGATTGCCGAAAAAGATGTTGTTTTGTCTTCTGATGATTATGGTCGTGATTTGGCAAGTGTACAAGCTTTACAACGTAAACATGAAGGAGTTGAACGTGACTTGGCAGCCTTGGAAGATAAAGTTGCTACTCTTGGTACCGAAGCAGGTCGTTTGTGCAGTATTCATGCAGATCATAGTGATCAAATTCGCGAAAAACAATCCGAAATTGCAGCTTATTGGCAATCACTAACTGCTAAAGCAAAGGAAAGGAAGCAAAAGCTTGATGAATCATATTCTTTACATAGATTCTTAGCTGATTTTAGAGATCTTATTTCATGGATTAATGGAATGAAAGCAATCATTTCTGCAGATGAGCTTGCTAAAGATGTCGCTGGTGCTGAGAGTTTACTTGAAAGACATCAGGAGCATAAAGGTGAAATTGATGCAAGAGAAGACAGTTTCCTCTCTACAACTACTGCAGGTCGTCATCTTTTGGATCGAGAACATTATGCAGCAGCTGAAATTCAAGAAAAATTGGCAGCTTTGGAAAATGACAAATTGTCATTGCTTTCATTGTGGGAAGATAGACGAATTTTATACGAACAATGTATGGATTTGCAATTATTCTACCGTGATACAGAACAAGCTGATACATGGATGGCAAAACAGGAAGCATTTTTGGCAAATGAAGATAAGGGTGATTCCTTAGACTCTGTTGAAGCACTCATTAAGAAACACGAAGACTTTGAAAAAAGCTTGGCAGCACAAGAAGAAAAAATAAAAGCTTTGGATATTTTTGCTTCTAAGCTTATTGATGGACAACACTATGCAGCCGATGATGTTGCTCAGAGACGTGCAATGTTATTAGCTCGTCGATCTGCATTGCTTGAAAAATCTGAAACTCGTCGCTTATTGCTTGAAGATTCAAATCGTTTACAACAATTCGAACGCGATTGTGATGAAACAAAAGGATGGATCAGCGAAAAATTGAAATTCGCAACTGATGATAGCTATTTGGATCCAACAAATCTCAATGGAAAGGTTCAAAAACATCAAAACTTTGAGCAAGAATTGACAGCAAATAAAGGGCGTATTGAAGATATCACAACTGTTGGACAAGAATTGATTGAACGAAATCATTATGCAGCTTCTCAAGTCAATTCCAGAATGCAAGAAATCATTTCTTTGTGGGAATCATTGGTTCAATCATCTGACAAAAAAGGATGCAAATTACAAGAAGCATCACAGCAACAACAATTCAATCGAACTGTTGAAGACATTGAGTTATGGTTAAGTGAAATTGAGGGACAATTACTTTCTGAAGATTATGGTAAAGATTTAACAAGCGTTCAAAATCTTCAAAAGAAGCATGCCTTGTTAGAATCTGATGTGATGGCTCATCAAGATCGAATTGAAAATATCAAGGTTGCTGCTAATAAATTCATTGAAAGTGGACACTTTGATGCTGACAATATTCGCAACAAAGAAGTTGGCTTATCTAAGCGATATTCTGCTTTACAAAATCCAATGGCAGAACGTAAAACTCGTCTTACAGAATCATTAGAAATACAACAACTTTTCCGTGATCTTGAAGATGAAGCTACATGGATCAGAGAAAAAGAACCAATTGCCGCATCAACAAATCGTGGAAGAGATTTAATTGGTGTTCAAAATTTGATAAAAAAACATCAAGCAGTTTTGGCTGAAGTTAATAATCATGATCACAGAATTTCCGGTGTAATTGATACTGGTGAGCAAATGGTTAAAGATCATCCAGTCTCTTCAGATGAAATTAAAATACGTCTTGATAGTCTCAAGGAACAATGGAGTAATTTAAGAGAAAAATCTTCACAAAGAAAGCAAGATTTGGATGATTCTCTTCAAGCGCACCAATATTTTGCTGATGCTAATGAAGCAGAAAGCTGGATGCGTGAAAAAGTTCCAATCGTCTCAAATCCTGATTATGGAAACTCTGAAGATTCTTCAGAAGCTTTATTGAAGAAGCATGAAGCTTTGGTTTGCGATGTTGAGGCATTTGGTAATACAATACAATCATTGCAAGAACAATCTAAAAACTGCCGTCAGCAAGAAACACCAGTTGTTGATATTACTGGCAAGGAATGTGTTGTTGCATTGTACGATTACACTGAAAAAAGTCCACGCGAAGTTTCAATGAAGAAGGGCGATATTTTAACTTTGTTGAATTCAAATAATAAGGATTGGTGGAAAATTGAAATCAACGATCGTCAAGGATTCGTTCCAGCAGCTTACATCAAAAAGGTCGATGCTGGTTTGAGCGCAAGTCAACAAAACCTTGTTGATACTCACTCAATTGCCAAACGTCAAGCTCAAATCAACAGTCAATATGACAATTTGATTGCAATGGCGCGCGAACGTCAAAATAAGTTGAACGAAACTGTTAAAGCATATGTTTTGGTTCGTGAAGCAGCAGAGTTGTCATCATGGATTAGAAATAAGGAAAGCCATGCCCAAATTAAGGATGTTGGTGAAGACCTTGAAGAAGTCGAAGTTTTGCAAAAGAAGTTTGATGATTTTAATGATGACTTGAAAGCAAATGAAGTTCGTTTAGCTAAATTAAACGAAATTGCTGTTCAATTGACTTCATTGGGTCAAACTGAGGCTGCATTGAAAATCAAAACTCAAATGCATACATTAAATGAAGAATGGCAACAACTTCAAAATATTACAACTGAAAGAGCTAGCCAACTCGGCTCAGCACATGAAGTACAAAGATTCCATCGTGATGTTGATGAAACAAAAGATTGGATTTCAGAAAAGGACAATGCATTGAATAATGATGATTTGGGTAAAGATTTGAGGTCAGTTCAAACTCTTCAACGAAAACATGAAGGTTTAGAGAGAGATTTGGCAGCTTTACGCGACAAAATCAGACAACTGGACGAAACTGCAAATCGTTTAATGCAATCACATCCAGAAACTGCTGATCAAACTTATGCTAAGCAAAAGGAAATCAATGAGGAATGGACACAAATCCAGAGCAAGGCCAATTTGCGAAAAGAAAAGCTTTTAGATTCGTATGACTTGCAAAGATTTTTAAGTGACTATCGCGATTTGATGGCATGGATTAATTCAATGATGAGTCTTGTCTCAAGCGAAGAATTGGCGAATGATGTAACTGGAGCTGAAGCTCTAATTGAACGTCATCAGGTATGTTCAAAATTTGATTATTACTTTTGTATTTGATTCATCTTCGCTATTTCATATCACATGAAAAATAAAAATAAAAATTTTTGGAAGAATAGCAGCAAAGTAAATATTACATAATAATGAGTACAAATTCATCTATCTACTCAATTTATATATTTTACTTTGTTGATTTAATTCTTATTTATTGACTTATTCGTTACAAACAGAACCATCGCGCCGAAATTGACTTTCGATACGGTATACCTCAGGTATTTCATAGTTTTAAAAAAATTAAAACTTAACACTTATTTGTTAATACTGCATATTTGGCTTAAATTTAACATGTGGCACTTAAAACAAACGCAATGGTTTTAATTGTATTAAAAATATTTTATAAAGTATCATCAACTGAAAAACATAACATTTTCATGTTATAAATAATAAGAATTAATCTTTGATAATCTTTCATACAATAACAGTAGATTACAAAGATCTTTTAATTTAATATACATACATTGTACATTGATATGAACATGCAAAAACACTTTTAATTCATTAAAAAAAGAGTGCACAAAATTATATGAAAGTTTTTACTCAAATTTATTTATCTCATTTTCATTAGGAGCATCGTACCGAAGTTGATGCACGTGCAGGAACATTCAGTGCATTTGAACAATTCGGATCGGAGCTTTTACAAGCAAATCATTATGCATCACCAGAAATTCAAGGAAAGATTGAATCATTAGCTAAAACTCGCGAAGATTTAGAAAATGCTTGGACAACACGCCGTTTACAGCTTGATCAAAATCTTGATTTACAACTTTACTTACGAGATTGTGAACAAGCTGAAAATTGGATGTCTGCTCGTGAAGCTTTTTTGAATGCTGAAGAAGTGGATTCAAAAGGCGATAATGTTGAAGTCTTGATTAAGAAACACGAAGACTTTGACAAGGCAATTCATGGACATGAAGAAAAAATTGCAGCATTACAAGTTTTGGCTGACCAGTTGATTGCACAACAGCATTATGCAGCCAAATTAATCGATGATAAGCGTAATGAAGTTTTAGAACGCTGGCGTCACTTGAAAGAAGATCTAATTGAAAAACGCTCTAGATTGGGCGATGAACAAACATTGCAACAATTCAGTCGTGATGCTGATGAAATTGAAAATTGGATTGCAGAAAAATTACAATTGGCAACTGATGAAAGCTATAAAGACCCAGCAAATATTCAATCAAAACATCAGAAGCATCAAGCTTTCGAAGCCGAATTAGCAGCAAATGCTGATAGAATTCAAAGTGTATTGGCTATGGGTGGAAACTTGATTGAAAAAAATCAATGCAGTGGTTCAGAAGATGCTGTTCAAAAACGATTGACTCAAATTGCTGACCAATGGGAATATCTTACTCAAAAGACAACAGAAAAATCTTTAAAATTAAAAGAAGCCAATAAGCAACGTACATACATTGCTGCAGTTAAAGATCTTGATTTCTGGTTAGGAGAAGTTGAAAGTTTGTTAACATCCGAAGATGCTGGAAAGGATTTGGCATCTGTCCAAAATCTAATGAAAAAACACCAACTTGTCGAAGCTGATATTCATGCTCACGAAGATCGCATTAAGGATATGAACACACAAGCTGATTCTCTTGTTGAAAGTGGACAATTTGATAGTGCTGGAATCCAAGAAAAGCGTCAATCAATAAATGAACGCTACGAACGCATTAGAAATTTGGCTGCACACCGTCAAGCACGCTTGAATGAAGCAAATACATTACACCAATTCTTCCGAGACATCGCTGATGAAGAAAGCTGGACAAAGGAAAAGAAATTGTTGGTTGGTTCTGATGACTACGGACGTGATTTGACTGGAGTTCAAAATCTTAAGAAGAAGCATAAACGATTGGAAGCCGAATTAGCTTCACATGAGCCAGCAATTCAATCTGTTCAAGAAGCAGGTGAGAAGTTGATGGATGTTTCTAACTTGGGTGTTCCAGAGATTGAACAAAGATTAAAAGCTTTAAATCAAGCTTGGGCTGAACTTAAGAATATGGCAGCAACGCGTGGTCAAAAATTAGATGAATCATTGATCTATCAACAGTTTTTGGCAAAGGTTGAAGAAGAAGAAGCATGGATAACTGAAAAGCAACAACTCTTGTCTGTTGAAGATTATGGAGATTCAATGGCCGCAGTTCAAGGGTTATTAAAAAAACATGATGCTTTCGAAACTGATTTTGCTGCCCATAACGATCGTTGCAATGATATTTGCGATCAAGGAGCAACCTTGGTTACAAATAAAAACCATCATAGCGACGCTATTCAACAACGATGTGCTCAATTGAAGAAGAAACTGGACAATCTTTCAGCTTTGGCTGCACGCCGTAAGAATGCATTGCTTGATAATTCTGCTTATTTGCAATTCATGTGGAAGAGGTAAAAAATTTTTTACACATTTCTTGGTGAAATATGAAAGTAATTCCTTCTTTTATTAGTGACGTTGTTGAAAGCTGGATAGCTGACAAGGAAAACCATGTCAAATCTGAAGAATATGGACGTGATCTTTCAACTGTTCAAACATTATTGACCAAACAAGAGACTTTCGATGCTGGTAATTTATAAAAACTATTTCATGTTAATCTTAAATCTATAAATTAATGTTAATTTATGTTTAAATAGGTCTCTCTGCTTTTGAGCAAGAAGGAATTCATAATATTACAACACTAAAAGATCAGTTGATTAGTGCTAATCACGCACAATCACCTTCAATCATCAAGCGTCATGAAGATGTTTTAACTCGCTGGCAAAAGCTTCGCGCTGCATCTGAAGAACGTAAATTCCATTTGCTTAGAATGCAAGATCAATTCCGTCAAATTGAAGATTTGTATTTGACTTTTGCCAAGAAGGCATCAGCTTTTAATTCATGGTTTGAAAACGCAGAAGAAGATTTAACAGATCCAGTTCGTTGCAATTCTATTGAAGAAATCAAAGCTTTACGTGAAGCACATGCACAGTTCCAGGCCAGCTTGTCATCAGCTCAAGCTGACTTCCAAGCTTTGGCTGCACTTGATCAAAAGATTAAGAGCTTTAATGTTGGACCAAATCCATATACTTGGTTCACAATGGAAGCACTTGAAGATACATGGAAGAACTTGCAAAAGATCATTGATGAACGTGATGGTGAACTGACAAAAGAGGCCATTCGTCAAGAAGAAAATGACAAACTTCGCAAAGAATTTGCCAAACATGCTAATTTGTTCCATCAATGGCTTACAGAAACAAGGTACATATATTTTGAAGTCTATTTTTTTAAGACAAATTACTAGACCATTATATAATCTGCAAAGTTTCTCAGATGAATTTCCATTAAAACCACCATAGTTAATTGCATTCAGACAATTTATTTGTATATTTTTGTATTATTAGATACAATATTCTTGGATGGGATAGAAATGGGTAAATTTAGTTGTTACTTTAATCTACGAAAGTGTTGCAAATTAAATCTTGTGTACTAAAGTTTCTAACGCTTAAATCGTAAATCTCTAATATTGCTTAACTTACTATTCAAGATGCATTGTGTGGGATAATTGGTTTTAATTGCTACAAAATATTAAAACAAAATTTATATTTTTTCTAGAACATCTCTCATGGACGGCTCCGGTTCTTTGGAGGAACAATTCGAAGCATTATGCCACAAAGCGAACGAAATTCGAGCTAGACGCGGTGATTTAAAGAAGATAGAAGAGCTTGGTGCCATTTTGGAAGAGCACTTAATTTTGGATAATCGTTATACAGAACATTCAACTGTGGGATTAGCCCAGCAGTGGGATCAATTGGATCAACTTGCTATGAGAATGCAACACAATTTGAAACAACAAATTCAAGCACGTAATCAATCAGGTGTTTCAGAAGATTCGCTTAAAGAATTCTCAATGATGTTTAAGCATTTCGACAAGGACAAGAGTGGAAAATTAAACCACCAAGAATTCAAATCCTGTTTACGTGCCCTTGGTTATGACCTTCCTATGGTAATTTATAAACTTTTAGCTAGCTTATTCTCTAGTAATAAAACATTTATATTTTGTAATTAACAGGTTGAAGAAGGACAGCCTGATCCCGAATTTGATGAAATTCTCGGTGTTGTAGATCCTAACCGAGATGGATATGTGTCACTGCAAGAATACATAGCATTTATGATTTCTAAAGAAACCGAGAATGTTCAAAGTTACGAGGAAATCGAGAATGCTTTCCGCGCTATTACTGCATCTTCTGAGCGACCTTATGTCACTAAGGATGAACTATATTCCGTAAGTTGTTACTTATTTTTCTATGTTTTTGTAATTGCCATTAAATTTTTTTTTAATTTACAGAACCTCACAAAAGAAATGGCAGATTATTGCGCGCAGCGTATGAAACCTTACACCGATCCAAAATCTGGTCATGTCATCTCCGGCGCTTTAGATTACGTAGATTTCACCAGAAAGCTTTTTGATTAAATTTAAGATATATAATCGATTCATGCTTGAAAAATTTAACTAAAATTATTGTGTATTCATAACTACTATTATGAAGCACTATACAATTTAAAACTTAAAAGTTTATTTTACAATACATTAATAAATATCCTCTGCTTACTGCTTTATGCTAAATTAAAATTTTATGCACTAAGCCTAAAGCAAAATTATCTGCAATTTCTGATTGGAAATTTTTTTTCTTCTAAGAAATGGATTGGTAGATCATAAATTTGCTGGAATAAATTTTGCTTTGTGGAAATTCATTTAATAAAAGGATAGTAACACATAAAAAAACTATTCCTGTTTGATATAGAAATATTTTGATATCTTAATTTCAGAATTTTATTAAGATTCTAATTTTAAAACATTATCACATATATTTTGATTGACCTTCTCTTAATGAAATGACACTTCAAACATCGTAAATAAAAATAGTATACTAGTAGTAGTAGTAAGCACTTAATGAAGAATTATATAATGAGAACATTATGATCTGGTCTCTTTTTTAAATGTGTGTAAATTTCATTCACTTTTCGTTTCAAAGTTGAGATGCATGAGGCCATGTTTTAATTAATGTTAAGAATTCTTCTCCGGGACTTTGAGTGTTTCTAAGCTGTGAGGCTCCAAATACTTCATATTCGCTTGAAAAAATCTTCTTTTTTATGCCTTCAGCAATTAAAGCAAGACCAGCAGCCAACTGTTTTTTATTTGGTAATTTATTAGAAAAATTTCCTGCAAGTAATTTTACATGGCTTTGATAATATCCGAAATTAGAAAGTATATATACATATAAATATCTTACATACCTATATATGCGATTCCGATGCTTCCTCGATTATAGCCCGAAGTGTGAGCTCCTTGTTTATACCATCCTCGACCTTCATAAACATTTCCATCTCCACCAATAATAAAATTGTATCCTATATCGGAAAACTTAAAATCTGGCCCAAGATGCAATTTTTGCATAAACTGTACATTTTCTAAGCATGTGTCCTAAAATATCCAACAAATTATAAAATGTAAATACATTTGTTAAAATACGATACCTTTGTTAAACATTCTTTAGTGACTGTGTGACAAATTATGATTCTGCTGAGAGGAAGGATCAAGTCATCAAGTGTATCATTTATAGGTACAGCGCCCCACTCATTCTTTGAAATTATTTTCAGCACACTTGTTTCGTTCTTATCATCTACAAAATAATTAATTTGTTAAAAAAATCATGTCTAGATAAAAAAAAACCTTAAATTTCACATAATTTATCATAGTAAGTTATAAAGAAAAATCACCTTCAGCTTTATTAAGTATGAGAACAAGTACTATTGCAAGAGTTGTTAAAATTAATAAAGCTGATGTCACAGTCAGTATTTTTTTTCTAGTAAAGAAAGTGGTGATCAATTTACTGGTGTGTTCCTCATCGGGTTTTAGTATAATAATATCTTTCCGTTTTGTATTCTTATTTTTATCGTCATCTATAGATAATTTGTTGAGAGATCCTATATCCAATACAAGAAATAGTAGAATAAAACATTTGTTACGTCATTCATCAGATTTTTAAATAGAACGTGTTTGTATTGCATACATATATATTTTGGCGGAATTTCCAACAAAACACGGTTATTGAAGATTAAACCACAAACTCTTCAGAGTCATTTTGGTAAGAAATTTTAATAAAAATTCATATTCACATCGATTAGTGCATACCTTCTTATGTGTATACGTATTTTTTTAACAAATACACTTTCATATTTAAAACTTAATTAGATATTAAATAAGCTTACCTTCAAATCCTTGGTTTACAGCTCCAAATGATTTTACATTACTATTATGATCATTATTATTTTCACTATTTAAAACTATGTGTTTTATCGTAACGGGTCCATTAAAAAATGTTTTATTTCCAATATGTACATCATTCGAGTTTTTAATGGCGACTGAGTTAATATTCTGAAGCTTATTATGGAGATTTACTTCGTTATCAGTGCTTTTTTGTTGAACTATTTCCAATCCCTGAGCTGCACTAAAACTTTGATTATTTTTATTAGATATGGTTTTACTTATTTGTACTTGATCTTCGATATCTGAATCAGATGCGGTTGATGTTGAAGAAATTGAGTAACAATCTTCAACTTCTTGATTCCTTTCATAAGTATTTGAATTAATTGTAGTATCAGAAACGGATTTTAAAATGCTTTCCATGTTTTCACGGTAATAACTACTGGCTGCTTCCAAAGATATTGGAACAGCCATATCTAATTGTTCTCGAGACATGATTGATTAGCAAAAGAGAATTTCCAAAAACAAAAAATTCCTAAAGTTAATTACTAAAACTTTTTTAAGAAAAATTATAACTTCACATCGATGAAATGTCGTGTTTGTACTGATCATCAGCTTTATCGTATATGACAAACAGCAGTAGGCATTTATTCTCTTGTGAGTATTTTTGTGTTGTTACATTAAGAGAGCATTATTAAACTTCTCTTAGTATTTTAAATATGAACTTGATGTTTCTCATTCTTTAAACAAGAATTCTAAAGACAAGTTGATGACTAAATGTGTTTTACCAGTTAAATAAGTAGAGGCAAATACATTTTTAAAATCAAAAGCTATCTCAAGAATCAATGAATGATTCTTTTTGACATGCCAATGTCATTTAAATATGCATAATTATTTTATCATATTTAAAAATACCTTTTGAACATTAATTGAGCAAAATTGAATGTCTAAGAAAAAATTTAAAAGGGCTGTACACTTATTACGTAACGCGAAAAAATGACTTCTTAGACCCCCCCCCCTCGTAACAAAATTTGTATGAAAAAAAAATTTCCTTGTTTGAACCGTAACAAAATCTTAGACCCCCCCCTCCCCCTAAAAGCGTTACGTAATAAGTGAATGGCCCCAAGCAGAAATACTTAAAATGTCCATGTAATATGCTTTTTATTTAAAAATTTTCTTGCAAAACATTGAAAAAGCAAACTTAAAATTATTCTGAAATGCAACAATTTTGTCACATAATATGAATGAAATATACAGAATTATTTAACAACTATACAACTATTAATAACAATAAGAAAATGTTCGTCATAATAAAGCATTATCCAATATTTCCACCTAATCCAACTTTGTATTAAAGCTTGTTTTATAAAATTTTAAAAAATAATTTTTAATTTAGTTTAATTCATTTAATTCAAGACATCATAAATATCAAAATATATGTTTAATAATGTTTGAATGAAGTCTGTTGTATTTCCATGCATGTATGTTGTATTATTGAATTACCATACGAAAGTTACGATTAATTATTTAGCTTTAGCTAAGACAAAAGTTAATAATAAGTCCAATTATGGATGAAAAGTTAAAAAAATGAATCACAAATTGCGTTAATGAGGTATCTAAAGAGATTTGTGTTATTAAGAGAAGCTTATAGTTGTAGAGCTTTGTAAAGATGCAAAAAATGAGTCACACTTCAGCGTGCATTTCAGCTTTTCCTTAGGAATTGTGAAATTCTTATTAAAAAACCCTCGATCAATAATGTATTTGCATAAAACCTTTGTATGAGCGACTTTGACATTTGAAAGTCGTAATCCTTTTTATATTCCTTCGGAAAAAGAAGTGTACGATTTTAATTATTTTATTATATTATATTGTTGACCTTCTCCTCTCTCGCACCAATACATTCACAGTATCTACGTCAAAACAAAAGAGCTGCGAGTAATACCTTCTCAAACACGTATGAATCTCACATCACAGACGTTATTTTTTTAGTTTTCTCTTGGCATTCGTAGTGTAAGCACTAGTGTTTGAAAAAAAAATTGTCTCGCAAGCTGATCTTCAAACATATTCGGAAAACACAAATTAGGAAGTTATTCTCTATTTAAAACAAGTTTAGTTTCATTTTAGTGAAGATTTAAATGACATTTATTAGGAATTAAAATTATTCAACAAAATTTTTATGCGATTTTGCATCAACACAAATTCTTAGAAAGTACGAGAAAATGTTATGTAGAGTATTGCGATTTTTATATCGTATGATACAGTAATTTTTCAATCAAGACATAATTAACAGACAAAGCTTGTTGAAAACATAACAAGTTAACTTTTAAGTGTCATAAATAATACCTTAATTTAAATAACGTCTTAATAATTTGGATCTTTTCCAATATTTTATATATAATCAGATATTTGAAAGATGACTGAACAGAAAAGAAAAATTCAAACTGTGGTGATTTGCGGGTTGCTTTTATTTTCAATAATTGATCATACAGAGTGCCGTAAAACATCAAGCAATAGTAAAAGTAAATCAAAATCCGGATCTCCTACCGTTCGTCCAAAAACAAACAACCCCCAACAATATGCAAATCCTGCAAGTCTTTCTTACTCTGGAATTTCTCCAAATGCACCCCAACAACCAAAACCATCAGCACCAAAAATAGAACAGAGACCTGTTCAATCATTAGCTTCACCAGTCAATTATCCACAGTCTTCAAACACAAATTCTAGACCTGTTGGATGGGATGTAAATACTCAACAACGTCCACAATCACCACCGTACCCTCAATCTCCACAATATCCAGTAAACACTAATCAACAGCGTCCTCAATCACCACCATATCCGATAAATCAACCTCAACATAATTCACCTCCTTATCCTCAAAATGGAGGATCTCCAAATATGAATCAAAATCCTGCATATAATCCTCAACAGCCTGCATATAATCCTCAACAGCCAGCTTATAATCCGCAACCGATCCATAATCAAAATCCTTCCTACAATCCACAACAGCCTGCATATAATCCACAACAATCCGCTTATAATCCTCAACAGCCAGCTTATAATCCACAGCAAATCCATAATCAAAATCCTCCTTTCAATCCTCAACAACCGGCATATAATCCACAACCTGGATATAATCCACAGCCTGCTTATAATCCACAACCTGGGTATAATTCACAACCTGCATATCACCCACAACAACCACAAATAATTCAACAACAATCAAGTGGACCAGGATTATTGAAAACTGTTGCAGTAGGAGCTGCCGCGGGATTAGGAACTTCCTTGTTATTTAACTCACTTACATCTAAAGATGAACCGAAAACTACCGTAATAATTGTTAATAATACGCAACCAATTCAACCTGCTCCAGCTTTACAACCAGAAGTGGCTACTCCTCTACCAATTCAAAATAATGAAGCTGTTGTAGTTCCAGTCCAAGAACAAAATACACAAGCTCCATATGCAATACAACAATCAGTTCCTGCACAAGCTCAGCAAATCCCTGTACAAGAAAATCAACAGTTTGTACCCTTCTCACCCCAACAAATTCCTATTCAAGAAAATCAGCAACAAGTTTATCAACAACCTCCATTACAAGAACAGACACAAGGCATTGTTCAAAACCAACCTTCAATGATTGAATCTCAAACAACTATTTTACCGACTATAATGCCTATCAATTCAATTAATACAGAAGTAATTCCACAAAATCAAACTTCTTTCGCCGAAACCACAACATTTTTAGCTACTACAATTCCCTCAAGCTCGACTCAAGATAAGGTTCTTCCACCAGTCAATGCTTTAAGCTCTCAAGTAACTGAAAGTGCAAATCTCAAAGATTCAGTTGCTAGCTATCAATCAGTCAATACTCAAATTTCAATGCTTGTTATTGCTCTCTCATGTAGTATCTCTTATTTAATACAGTAAACAAATTCAAATTTCACAAGAAAAAAAAACACGACTTACGTAGAAAGCCACGAATTTCCACGCTTGACTTACGTTAGATAAAATATTACCTAAATTAACAGATGCTTTCAATGGTTTTACATAAAGGAGAGTGGACGAGCTTTGCTTCACTTCACTCCGTTCTTTAGCTAAGTTTCCATGAAAAGTATCCTTTAACAGACATTGAAAAGTTCCAAAAATCACAAACTGAATTTTAAGTAAAGTAGTCAGAAAAAGATAATTAAATATAAAAACTCTTAAGAATTTTTTTTTTCATTTACGAAAGCTACAATATTACCTCAAGAATTTCAAAAAAATTAAACTTTTCAGACTATTTAAGTTAAATTTGAAAAATTTTCAAAACCAAAAAAGAATTTTGTCCAATTCTAAAAGTTTATATACCCTATCAGATTTTTGAAAATGAGTCCTTCAGGCAGTAATAAAAAAGTGTGTTTTTCGTGAAACTAATAACTTACACGCTTTTGCGTGGAAGTTAATAAAGATAATGTAGTAATTTATCAATAAACGATAGATAATGTTTTCTTAACAAAAATTCAGTCTAGTGATAAAGCTTGTCAGAGCTAAATCTATGATATAAATTGAAATAAAGTTATTTTAGAATGAAATTGTTAAATAAGCCTTTTTATTTTGTGATCATACTGGCTTTTTTATTTGCAGTCGATAATTCTGAAGCTGATAAACATGTTAAGAAAGGAGACAAGCATAAAAATACGTCGCAAAATAAACCTAATCAACAACAGACTCATAAAAACTCAACAATGAGTCATGATCATAATAAAAACCATACCTCAATAAACACTAATCATATGGTGCCTAACCAAAATAATATGTTTATTCAAAATGAACAACAAGTCGCCCACTCTAATAACCCTTCAAATGTTGGATGGAGCTTAAATCAAAATCAAGCTGCTCATCATCAGCAAAATAATCCAAATGGATATGTTATGCAACATCATGATAGTTCTCACGGTACGTCACATTCAAATCAGCAAAATTCAAATACTCATCCTCAACAGCAGCAACCAGAAAGCAGTAATTTTGGCGGAATCGCATTAGGTGCGGCCGGTGGACTTGCATCAGGTGCAATTGGAGGTAAAAAAATTTAAAAGTAGCGTTTACATTTATTTCAATAATTTTTTCTTTTACTAAGGATACCTTTTGAGCAATGCTCTTAACTCGGGAAGTAAATCAGGAGAAAAGGAGTCACCCTTAGTTCAAAATATAAATGAGACAACTGTTTCAATAAGTGAGGCATCAAATTTAGAAAGTACTACTTTAGTTGCCGAAAATAATACTATTTCTAATACCATTGAAATGCTTAATCAAACTGATTCGTCAACTATCGCACAAAGTTCTCAAAAGCCTTCTGAATCTAATAAGGCTACAGCAACAATCCAATTATCAATTTATGTCTGTGCTTTCGCGTCATTATTTATGAATATATTGCTTTAATTTAAAGTCACACACTTAAAACGAGAATAAAACATTGGAATAGTGATAATATATTTTATATATAAATTCAGTGATCATTTGTTTTATTAGCACTCACAAATTGTGCTAATTCAACCATTATTGGATGTAAAGCATTTTAAAATTTCTTAAAGACGAATTCATTTTTAATCGTCAGTGTAGTTTTCATCAATTCAGAATATAATCAATAATTTAAATAAAATAGTAATGAAATATTTTATTAAAATCTTTAAAACTTTATGTATTGTTTTAATGCTTTTGACATCGTCTTATGCAAAACATCATAAGCAAACGACTAGAAAAACCACTCCAGCAAGTACTCAAACACATCCACATTCAAATTACAATCAACAGCAGTCAGCATCTTTAGGAAACGAACTGCATGGATTTAATCAACAACCCCAGCAAGTAATTGTTCATCATGTCCAACAGCAACCTAGTTCTAGTTATGGAGGTGGATTAGGAACAGTTGGAGGTTTGGCAATTGGTGGTCTAGCTGGTAATCTTTTTAAAATCTCAACTCATTTTGTGAACGAAAATTGCATCTATTATTTGTCTTAATACAGGTGCAGGAGCAGGATATGCGCTAAGTAAAGCTCTAGATAGTGACGATGATAAACATGATAAGGCTTCAACGACACCATTAACGACAGTAATTTCTGAGACCACAAATCATAGTAGTGAAACGGTTAGTTCCACAGAATTACAAGCTAATCAGACAATAAATACTGAGGCACCTTCAAATCGTGCAATAAGCTCAAAAACTTCGTTTGCCTTAGCTTTAATAATTGTCTCTTTCTTGGTTTTTCGAATCTGATAGTAATTGAAATAAAATTTGTAATTTGGCAACATTAAAGCACAACTTTAGCGTTTTCGGATAAAGAAAAAATTTCTATAATTTTCTATTCATCACATGATGTTTATAAAATTCAACAAAAACAGTATGAATCACTAATGAAGATTGTGTTGAAAGTAAAAACTATATCTGAATGGAACTTTTATTTAGCACATGGAGATGTAGCATTTCAATATTTTATCATTAGCGTTAAAATATTCTTGTATATTTTTAAATAATTTAGTTTTTAATTGAATACAATTGCTGATTATTCATGATCTTGAATCTACATTCGTCAAAAGATACGGTGAGACAAAATAAAGTTAATTTTTTCCTGCTATTTATATTCTGTTAATTCATTTATGGGCAAATCCACGAAAGAATTTTTCTACAAAAAACCACATCTTTTGCAAATTTCTCAAAAACGGCTTAATTTACTTTGTGCTTTGAAACTCAATATAATAGAAAAACTCAATTTTAATATTTTTTTCAATAATTCAGCTTTCTATGTGCTTTAATTAATGAGTTATTTCAATTTGGAGAGCGTCTGATTGTTAACTCTACGAAAATTGAATTTTACACCTTTTCCATTTTCTAGTTAAATATGCATTTTACCGTCGAGAAAAGATATACATTAGATTTTCGCTCGTCTTAGCTTTAATTATGTGTTCTTTCTTTCTCAATAAAATGCTTAATTAAAGAGATATTTACAAAATTAGCATCAGTTTGTTAATTTTTCGACTCATTATTGCAAAACACAATTGAATCCAAAACGGTTTGAAAGAAAAAAATTCGTTAAAATTTGTCTCCAAACAAAATAAATTTAATTTTTTAAGCCTTAAATTAGATCATTAGTTATCTTAGATCTAAAATATGTAAATTGGCACTGTTTTTGATAGGTAAAATAATTCAGGAAGTAAATTAAACTTAATTATTTTTTGATTTTAACGGTGTTTTTGAATTTATCAAGTTGAGAAGAATTCTTAGTCGATTTTCGCAGTACCGTTTATTCATGGATTTGCCCTTACTTAAATTCAGAAAATTGAAGTGTTCATCAATTAAATTATCTCTGGATTTTTTTTTTGTAAAATATAAAATCAAGATCATTGAAGTATTAATTGGGCCTCGACGTTTTTTTAAGGATTTATGTTTCACTTCTTAAAACTTTAAATTTACTTCAAAAAATCACTTTAACTTGCTTTAACCAAGCGTCACTCACGTACAATTGCTATATCTTCATTATTGTTTATTGATATATCTCTAAATGTATTTTTTTAGTTCCGAAATTTAATTTTGTTCTTTTTGAGTTTATAAAAAATTTAAAATTGCTGCATTAACATACCCAAATGGACAAAATTAAGTTAAAAATTTTTTAACGGTTTTAAGTATTTTGAGAATTTAATTTTTGATGTTTTGCAAAAATCACAGGTGTGGGACTCTACTCTCACATACTTTTTTCTACACATTTGCTACTTTTCTTATTATATTTGCTGCTTTTTGCAACTCTCACTACTCATTTTTACTAGGTCGTAATTTCGCCACCTCTTTGCTGCTTTTTACTTTTATTTGCTGCTCTTTACTGCTCTTACTACTCTTTATTACTCTTTTCTATTCTTTATTACTCTTTACCACTCTCTGTTGCTCTTTTGAAAAAAAAAATCTACTCTTTTCTGCTCTTAAGTAATATTTTACTACTCCTTACCATTGTTATAAAAAAATCTTTCAAAAACTTCAGAAATCAGTTTTAATGCATGATTTTTAATAATTATAAAATTTTCAAAATAATTTTACATTCAAAATGACTGAAAAATTCTAAAATCATGTTAAAATTTTAATCTTTTTTAAATGAACTGTGCAAAAGCTTCAATTAACGGTAATTTTTGATCCCTTACCATTAATGTAAAAATATAAAAATTAAATACTGAGTTAAACAGTTGAATTGACAAAAAAAAATATATGATTGATGAAAGGACAACCAATTTTTTAACCAAGTTACATTTTTTAACTATTGTATCGGGTAGAAACCCAATGCGGATATATTCACACCGTACCATCAAAAGTCTTATGGATAGACCAAGATTTGCTCAGCATAAGTTTGAAGGGTGGGCGTGAAGTACGGCCGAGACCCATATCGACACAGTTCTAAAATTATAGCTAATTTATGTCATAATTATGTCAGCTACAAAAACACTTAGTTTGAATTTTGTCACCCTCGGGAACACTATGAACCAGTATAGCTGATTTTGGTCCAAATCTCGGCCATACTTCACACTTATTTGAACCACATTTTCTCGTAAATGTTAAAATATTATTAAAAAGTAATTAATCCTGAATTATGTCGCTATTTTGTCAAGTGTTTTAAGATAAAGAATTTGTTTTTTGGATTCCACAGTGAAAAGAATGAACAAAATTCAGATGGGGGAGTCGAAATTTTAGATTTCGTTTTTTTAAGCTATGCATTACAAAAATTAATATTGGTATGTGATTTATGTCAGAATTATGTCAATTCAAATAAAACATCATAAAATTTTTTTGACCAAAGAACCAAGTAGAAATACATTTCTAATTATGAACTTGGGACAGGTCTAGTCAAAATCTCGTTTTTCACTTTTTTCTTTGAGGGTTTATCCAAATGGATTAAAACTTTGCATAAATGTTCTAGTGCTTAAAACAAATACAAATAAAACATCCTAAAATGTTTTTGAGCAAAGAACCAAGTAGGTTCTACATTTTCAATTTTGGACTAGGGGCGACCCTAGTCAAAATCAATTTTGTCACTTTTTTCTTCGAGGGTTTATCCAAATGGATTGAAACTTTGCATAAATATTCTAATGCTTAAGACAAATACAAATTAAACATTCTAAAATTTTTTTGAGCAAAGAACCAAGTAGGAAATACATTTTCAATTATGAACTTGGGACAGGTCCAGTCAAAATCTAGTTTTTCACTTTTTTCTTCGAGGATAAATCCAAATACAGTAAAACTTTGTATGAGCATTCTAATTTTCAGGTCACACATTTCTGAATTAATAAAAATCATTTTTTTGGACAAAATTTTAAGTCACGTTGTTTTTGAATGTACAACCAAATTTATAAAATTTGGGTCTAACGACATATAGAATACATTTCTTGCTTTAGATATTTAAAACTGTTTTGTATAAATATTAGTATACTCACACAAAGTTTTGTAATTGGATAAACCTTCGAAGAAAAAAAGTGAAAAACTAGATTTTGACTAGACCTGACCCAAGTCTAAAATTGAAAATGTATTTCCTACTTGGTTCTGTGCTCAAAAAAATTTTTGGATGTTTTATTTGTATTTGTTTTAAGCATTAGAATATTTATGCAACATTTCAATTCATTTGAATAAACACTCGAAGAAAAAAGTGAGAAAATTGATTTTGACTAGGGTCGCCCCTAGTCCAAAATTGAAAATGTATTTTCTCCTTGATTCTTCGCTCAAAAACATTTTAAATGTTTTATTTGTATTTGTTTTAAGCACTAGAATATTTATGCAAAGTTTCAATCCATTTGGATAAACACTCGAAGAAAAAAGTGAGAAAATTGATTTTGACTAGGGTCGCCCCTAGTCCAAAATTGAAAATGTATTTCCTCCTTGATTCTTCGCTCAAAAACATTTTAAATGTTTTATTTGTATTTGTTTTAAACACTAGAATATTTATGCAAAGTTTCAATTCATTTGGATAAATCCTCGAAGAAAAAAGTGAGAAAATTGATTTTGACTAGGGTCGCCCCTAGTCCAAAATTGAAAATGTATTTCCTACTTGGTTCTTTGCTCAAAAACATTTTAGGACGTTTTATTTGTATTTGTTTTAAACACTAGAATATTTATGCAAAGTTTCAATCCATTTGGATAAACCCTCGAAGAAAAAGTGAGAAAATTGATTTTGACTAGGGTCGCCCCTAGTCCAAAATTGAAAATGTATTTCCTCCTTGATTCTTTGCTCAAAAAAATTTTAGGATGTTTTATTTGTATTTGTTTTAAACATTTGAATATTTATGCAAAGTTTCAATTCATTTGGATAAACCCTCGAAGAAAAAAGTGAGAAAATTGATTTTGACTAGGGTCGCCCCTAGTCCAAAATTGAAAATGTATTTCCTCATTGATTCTTTGCTCAAAAAACTTTTCGAATGTTTTATTTGTATTTGTTTTAAGCACTAGAATATTTATGCAAGGTTTCAATCCATTTGGATAAACCCTCGAAGAAAAAAGTGAGAATATTGATTTTGACTAGGGTCGCCCCTAGTCCAAAATTGAAAATGTATTTCCTCCTTGATTCTTCGCTCAAAAACATTTTAAATGTTTTATTTGTATTTGTTTTAAACACTAGAATATTTATGCAAAGTTTCAATTCATTTGGATAAATCCTCGAAGAAAAAAGTGAGAAAATTGATTTTGACTAGGGTCGCCCCTAGTCCAAAATTGAAAATGTATTTCCTACTTGGTTCTTTGCTCAAAAACATTTTAGGATGTTTTATTTGTATTTGTTTTAAACACTAGAATATTTATGCAAAGTTTCAATCCATTTGGATAAACCCTCGAAGAAAAAGTGAGAAAATTGATTTTGACTAGGGTCGCCCCTAGTCCAAAATTGAAAATGTATTTCCTCCTTGATTCTTTGCTCAAAAAAATTTTAGGATGTTTTATTTGTATTTGTTTTAAACATTTGAATATTTATGCAAAGTTTCAATTCATTTGGATAAACCCTCGAAGAAAAAAGTGAGAAAATTGATTTTGACTAGGGTCGCCCCTAGTCCAAAATTGAAAATGTATTTCCTCATTGATTCTTTGCTCAAAAAACTTTTCGAATGTTTTATTTGTATTTGTTTTAAGCACTAGAATATTTATGCAAGGTTTCAATCCATTTGGATAAACCCTCGAAGAAAAAAGTGAGAATATTGATTTTGACTAGGGTCGCCCCTAGTCCAAAATTGAAAATGTATTTCCTCCTTGATTCTTTGCTCAAAAATATTTTAGAATGTTTTATTTGTATTTGGTTTAAATACTAAAATATTTATGCAAAGTTTCAATTCATTTGGATAAATCC